TGTTTTAAGTGTTGTTTAGCAGGTTTAATGTGTAAAAAATTTTCTTGCTGGGAATTATTATTAATTATTATATTAACAACATCTGATTCATTGTATTTGCTAAATTACATATACATTGGCATGAAGGATTTTACTCTGTATCTAAGCATAGCATTTCTCTTTTATGAAGGAGGACATAGTTTTCAAAATTGTAGGAAAAGCATATAGAATTGTTATATTTGTTTATCATTGACTATTGGTTCAAAATCATCTATTTCTTTCTCTATCATTTATAATTCAAACATCTTTTTAACAACATTTGCCTATAATTTTATTTTTATTATCTTCTTATTAATTACAATGTAACATTTTTTATAGACAATGATGTATTTTCCAATTTGTTGGAAAAGCATTCAAGTCATAACGATATTTGCTTTGTTTACTATTAATTAATTTGTTTTATTATTTATTAATCAATTAGTTTTAATACAAATAATAATAAAATGTTCTCATATATTTGATGGTACTTTTATTCCTTTCTTATTTATTTCTATTATTATCATTTTTAAAATATATATAATAAAGCATGTGGTACAGTGTTAAATATATGTGTTTATACATGTAACTAGACACTTAGAGTAGAAGAAATATGTCAACCTGGAAGGGTAGTACATCTAAGAGAAGGAAAACTGATTTTAAACCTCCACTGCCTTGCGGCCATACTCAATCATGGGAAAGGCTTTAGGAGTAAACCCTGAGGACAAAACCGGAGTTAGAGTCTCTAAGACAATCTGTGGAAATTCAAATTCCAAGTTGGTGTCTGGCATAGGATAATTCACTTCATGGTTTGAAAGAAGTCTTTATCCTTTGGTGACAGTCTTTCTAGAGAATGTATCTCAACAAAAACACCCGGATGTAGGGCTGGCATCCCATATTTTGTATCAGCTACTAAAAGCACTATGTTCTGACCAACCATAGGGAGGTCAAAGGGTGAAGATGATAAGCTTTGTGACAGTGAAAAATCTGTAGCATTAGTCTAGAATTTAGTCTATTTGAATAAAAGAATGGTATGTAAACATACCATGAATTATTTAACGAGTATTTTTGTCATTTCAACCAAAGCAAGGGGAAAATGCAACCAAGATGCAAGGGGTTATTGCAAGTGAAAGAGAATGTAAAGATTTTTAGTGATGAGAAAAGACAATAAAAGAACAAGATTCAGGAAGAGAGAGAAAAAAATTGGAATCTTGTTCTTAAGAAGAAAGCAATTAACATTGCATTTAAATTTTTTGAAAATTGTAGGTGGCAGGAAGGAAGAAATTGGAAGAGAGTTCCACAAGTAGTGAGAAGTGTGAGAAAAGAAACTTACAGTTACATCTACCTAGTTTAACAATAAAACAGTGAGACCTAGTTGCCACTCTTGTAGTATGCTAAAATTCATGCAGTCGATGCACCAAAGAGGGACATTCAGCAGAATAATTGCATGGAAATATTTATAGAAAAGACAGAGAGAAGCTATTCCATGGTGATGGGAGAGTGATGAGATGTCAAGTCAGGACCGATAACAGTACAAGCCCTTCTTCTGGATTTTGCTGAGATATATAGATAGAGCATCAGACCAGATATGGCAGCAATATTCAATGCATAGACGAATGGTAGATTTATAAATGTGGAAGATAGATTCTGAAAAGAACAGCTGTCTGGCACAACACAGTGAGCCAACCTTCTTAGCAGCAGACCTAGCAATTGATTCAATTGTTCCACTTCATGTCAGTGAAGAACCAAGAAGGTGCAATGAGTTGCTCTCTTGGAGGTCAACATAAGCCATGCTGATGGAGGGCAGAAATAGTTTTCTCTAATGCTTAATGTATAGCAGTTTTGTTTTGGAGGTATTCAAATTTGCATGCTATTTCATGCCCCAATTAACTACTGATTGAAATTTATTAGCAGATTAATTTTTACTTTATACTGTTGGGCTTTTCATAAAAATTTAGTGTTTAGAATAAGTTTTAGAATTGAATGAATTACAATTTGAATGAAGTTTTAGAAAAGAATGAATTACAATTTGAATGAAGCTTTAGAAATGAATGAATTACAATTTGAATGAAGTTTTTAGATTTGAACAAAAACATTGCCTGATATATTTTGTGTATCATGAAGCAATAAACATTTCTTATAGACATGAGTTGTGATTTTTGGTAATGAGATTTGTATGAATAAAGTAAATGCATCAGCTAAATTTCCCAAGTATTCACAAATGTAATGGCTCAGATTAGATTTCACTCTAAGAGAAGGAAGGACCTTTTTAATTTCCCTAACATTTTTATTGAGCCATTATTTCCTCGCATCTAACAAATTCAACTTTCCATACTAAAAGAACCTTAATACATTGACTGCCAACCTTAAGTTAACTTGTGGTTGGCAGTTTTTATTATGACACTAACTACTACAAATAATTTGTGCTTGGCATTTTCTGATAAATTTTCATCTGTGGTTACCAACAATGAGTTTATTTGCAGTGATTCTTTTAGTGTGGAAACAATGTTAAAACTTTAGTTGAAGCTAGAAATCAAATTTCATAATTGACCTCCAGCAATTAGTATTAATGATGCTTTTCCTGAATACAATTTTCTTGAATAAGGGTGGAGGCTTTTTACTTGTTCACGAGTTTTAAATGCTATGAAATACAATATGTTTGTCATTTAAAATTTCAAAATCTTTCAAAGAACAAATTAAAAATATATTCACAAGTCTTGTGTATACCCTCATATAATTATTTATTCAAACGAACTTATATATTTACAAACATACACATATATGAGAGAATTAAAGTCTTGGATTTGGAGAAAGAGAAGTTTAAAGTAAATTCTAGACAGGGATCACAGAAAAAAAAAAAAACTTGTTTGAAATGCAACATTTTGAAAATAAGAATTAAGTTGCTTTTAAACAGAGGTATATATTTTTTAAATCATTTCACCCTATGGAAGGGTAAAGCCACTAAGACTCAAGGGATTACAGAGTGTGAAAGAATAAGAGAAATATTATCAAGGAGCAAGAACAATAGAAGAGTAATCAGGAAGACAGTAGATTGACATTGCATTTAAATTTTTGAAGATCAAAATTGGCTGGAAAGCAGGGAGCCAGAAGAGACTTCCACAAACGAGAAGTGCAAGAAAAGAAACTGTTAGCATAGAACTTATGACTGAATTTAGCCAATTCCACTGTGAACTAATGAGACCTTGCCACCAATTTCATACTGCACTTAAATTCTTAAAGTCTAAGTACCATAGTGAAGAGCTCATCCAAACAATTACCATGAAAGTATTTATAGAAAAGGCACAGGGAAGCTACATTACGGCAGTTGAAAGTGACTGAAGCCAAGATGCCAGGTCAGGACCAATGATATTGCTGATTCTTTGGATTTTTCCAAGTAGCTCTAGATATATAGCTAGAGCACCAGACCAGATATGGCAGCAATATTCAATGCATAGATGAATGGTAGATTCTGGAGAAAACAGCTGTCTAGCACGAGACAGTGAACCAACCTTTTTAGCAGCAAATCTAGCAATTGATTCATTATAATCGTTCCACTTCATGTCAGTGAAGAACCAAGAAGGTACAATGAGTTACTCTCCTGGAGGTTAGCATAAGCCATGCTGATTGATGGAGGGCAAAAATAGTTTTCTCTGATGATTAACATATAGTAGTTTTGTTTTGGAGGTATTCAAATTTGTATGCTATTTTATGCCCCAGTTAACAACTGATTGAATGTTATTAGTAGAATAAATTTTACTTTATACTTTTGAGTCTTTAATAAAAATTGAGTGTTTAGAATAAGTTTTAAAAATGAATGAATTACAGTTTGAATGGTGTTTTAGAATTGAAAGAATTACAATTTGAATGAAGTTCTTTAGATTTGAACATTGCCTGATATTTTAAGACATTTTTATGTTTATACATTCTTTTTATAGATACAAATATTTAAGTAAATGCTCTGTTTATAATAAACAATATTAATAACATTTACCGGCCTGAATGTTAGAGAAATCTTCATAGGAAATATTTGTCCTCCGACAGGAATCGAATCTGTATCCTATACAGAACTGTCATATAGCCTGACGTGCCTCAACCGATCAAGCCACGGAGGATCGTTCAATTAGCAGCATCAATTTTACTGATTTTAAACAGCAATCTTCCATGAATCTCTCATGTACATTCATATCTGCTTAAAGTGTATCCAAATGTAAACAAATGGCATTCAGGCCGGTAAATGTTATTAATACTGTTTATTATAAACCGAGCATTTACTTAAATATTTGTATCTATAAAAAGAATGTATAAATATAAAAATGTCTTAAAAATAATTGTTGGACTTTGTCCATTTCATAATGTGTGATGTCATTTGAAGCCCCGAAATGAAATTCATCTACACTGGTGAAGTGTTCTTTCTCTGGGTGACTGAAGTGTTACACAAACATACATTTCCTTATAGATAAGTTTTAATGTTTTCCCTTTCCTTTTCAGCTGTGTATTTTCTATTTTAATCTTATATTAGTTATATAAAAATACATGAAAATATCTTCATGTCGGAAATTATTTCTTCTCTCTTTTTACCTCTACAAAAGATGACAATTTGTCATTTACATGTGAAAATTTTGGTTGCCACTGCTTTTAGTTGAGTCAGCGGTATCTACAAGATCAGGATTTAAAAGAAATCATCCCCAATGAAAAAATAAAATTAAAAATTAAAACATGGCCAATCCAGAAGAGAATTTAAGAGAAACCATTCTGATTACAATAGAATCAAAATGAAAATACTGCCTATCAAAATAACAATTTAAAGAGACCATTTCCATTAAAATGAAAACACTGCCCATCAAAATAACAATTTAAAAAGAAACCATTCCCATTAAAGAAGAAACACTGCCTGTTAAAATAGAATTAAAATGAAGGATTTAAAAGAAACCATTAAAACAAAATTAAAACATTGCCTGTTACAAGGATAATTAAAATCTCCTCACCTTCCACCTCCTCCTCATCATCTGTATCAAAATCCTCATCAATATTAATTTCCTCTGGATTTGATGTTTTGGTGAGTGCTCCCAATTCTTCATCAGTTGTGTTACTCCTGAAACAGAAAAAAAGCATATAACTGACCTATAAGCCACTTTTATAAACTTTTATTATTCCTGGAAAATTTTAAGCAATACTTCAGCTTATAAACCTTGAGGTCTTTGGTTCAAACCTAGATATAAAGTTAGAATGTTTGAAAACAAGAGATATTTTAAAGTCATTTATCTCCAGAATTTTCTAAAAATTTGAAATATAGGATGTTGGGTTTTGCAGAATTATCTGAAACTAGCAGCAGCTGTGAAAAATTTCATGGTTTTCTTATTTGAATTTTTTGATGATACATAATTTCTAAGTTATAGAATAAGCTCCTTGCGAGTTCCACGAGAATAAAATACCCAAAGAAATTCTGATGAATCATAATTCTCAAGTTAATGATTGAATTAAGCTCCTTCAGAGTTCCATGGCTATAAAATACCTGTGTAAATTCTCCTATTGCACCATTAAATTGTTGAACATAACAACTTTAATGAAATATTGCAATAACCATCTAAATTTGAATGCAGGTTATTATTTCAAGCAAGAGGGTACAAATGAAAAGATTTGAAATTGAAAAAGTTTTTTTCCATTAAAACATGAGCATTACTACTCAAACTTTATTTTTCTTACTGAAACCAAACATCATTGATATGTTTTTCCATCTTACTTCAAAATCAAAATGGAATAGTCAATTATTTATGAGCTATTGGCATTGTGTAATGTATGTACTAACAAACTAAAAAATAAACAGAATTATAATATAGGGTGTGGCAGAAATACATCCCACATAATGGTAAGACATTAGTGGCAATGATGTCTTCATCTAGCTTATGTCTTAAAATTATGTAGGAAGTATTTCTGATGAACCCTATATAAGTTCAAATTGTGGTAAAATTAGGTTGAATCCATTAGCAACTAGAATGAAAAGTTCTTCTGTGACACCTTTTCTATAAATGAATTGCTAAAACATGGTATAAATAGAGTAGATTTCTCAATTTTCATACCCCCCCCTCCAGACAAAATTGTACATATGGGACTAGTTAAAACTTCATAGAGTCTCTGGGATATTATGGTGGTTGTAGTAAGAATGGTAAGTAAGAATGTGGCATTTTGGTGCAAGGGTTATTGTAGCATGTCTGGGTCAGTGATTGTGGCTAGCTAAGTTTTAGTATAAGAAAGATAATTACCAACCTTCCCCTATCCCTATTATTGCCCTTGTACCCTATTTGTACTCATGTGCAATAAATATTGAAAGAAAAAGATATCTATTGAATTTATGTTGCTTCACCTTACCACTGATATATATATATAACATATATATATATATAACATGGTCTGGTATTTGACTCGGCTAAATCACGCAAATATTTCTCTTTTTCTCAGGATATTTTTAAATAGGAAAGAATATACATACCGGACAAAAAGGATGCCTTTGTCTGGCTTGACTTGGTCTCTTATAGCTTCTTCAGCCAATTGACGAGCTTTTTCTTCAAGTTTAGTCATTTCGTTCTGTTCTTTAGCAGCAGCTGAAAATTAATAAAAATGATATTTTCAAATTAGAAGAGTTGAAAGATCTCTGTATCTATCTATCTACCAATTATCCCGTCACTGGATCTAACCAATATCTTTATCCACTGTGCCATTTGTCCTTTGACACATGGCACAGTGGATAAAGATATTGGTTAGATCCTTTGACACATGGCACCTGGTTAAAGCAATGGAGAATTTGGAGAGGGGAATTAACAGGAGATAACTGATACCCATTAAACATGCCACGTGGAACTAGAACAGTCTACCCCAGTGAGTGAAATAAAGGGTTCAGTTCGACATTCCAACCACCTAATAGATATGACAACAAAGATGAGGACAATAGTCCAAATAATGTAAATAGTGTCCCTTAAAGGATTTCTAATTTCCAAGCATTAGAGAGTTTGACTTGTGTTTTTTCCCTGCTCTTCCTAAAACATGACAATCTGAACTGCTCAAGATTGTACAGAGATTATTCAAGCAACTGACATTCTATTTACATTGTTCGGGCTGTTGTCTTCATCTTTATTGTCATATTCCTAAGCCACCAAGCATAGACATGAATACTAGAAAGGAACCAGTAATACAGAGTGCTAGAGAAAAAAAATTGTAATATGAGATCTGGTAAAAAAAGAAAAAAGAAGATTACTGGGGTTTATAAGTCCCAAAAATTCATAACACAAAGAGTTATGAATTCAATACCTGATCACAGCAGAAGTGAACAAAACTTGGAAAGTTGAGTTACTAAAGGGAATTAACTGAAACTGAGGTATCTAGAAAAGGCATGGCATGGCATGTGGAACTAGGACAATCTACCCTGGTGGACGAAATAAAGTGTTCGGTTTGAAATTCCAATGTATATCAAGATTGCACAGAGATTACTCAAACAACAACTGAAGAAGACCGGATTATACAACAGCTGAAACATCATAAATATGGCAATAAAGATGAAGACAACAGTTTGAACAATGTAAATAGTGTAAATATTTACAATACCTCCTCTCAGAAATATAGACAGAAACTGACATCCTCCCACTTATCTTGATTACAACTGTTATAGAATATGTAAGCTAGAACAAAATGGTAAACCCTATTGTGCTGGTCAGAACTTTGACAATTCAAACTGGACAATGATGGATTGTTATTGTTTAAATTTTAAAATAAAATTAAAAAACACACAAAGATAATATGGTGACAGTAATAGAAGGGTGAAGATGCATATCCACTTCCAGGTTCCATGACATGTGTGGCTTTAGTAGATTGAGATAAGAGACCACAAGGTGATGGCAAGTCACTGGTTAACCTATTAGGATATGTCATTATCTCCCTCCAAGAAATGATGATACTATTAGTACTGTCTGTACCTCCATACCCGCCGCCCAATAAAGTGAGGAAACCTATGCCAATCCTGATGAGTTGTGATATCCTCAGAGGTTCCTGGCCACGAATGCCTACTGGGTCTATATCTCACTCCCAACTTCAAGTGGAATGCATATTTTTGTGTCATTTCAAAAGATGCTGGAAGAATGGGTGGTTCATTATGTCACCCCAGAAAATACCAGACTCCTACTGAAATGCTATATCTTTAAAAATGTCAGATCAGACCTATCTAGCTTCAAGAAAGTTCAAAAGTGATTATGCAGCCTTGTAGGTGATGAATTCTTCTCTACCATGCAATCCTTACCTCATAGACAAAACCTTGCTAGCCTCTCACTCTTGCCATTATTATGGCAGATGTTCAGATGAGTTACATTCCTTAGTTCCACCTGCTGAGACCTTTATGTTGTATACATAGTGAAAAATTTTCCCTATTCCATTCATGTTCCTTTGATAAGGAGTAAATTCCACACAACTTCTTCCCTAGAAATGTTATTTTGTGGAAAAAACTCCAGAGAGGATGCTTCTCTAACAATTACAATCTTGGTTTCTTTAACTCCTGAGTTAACTGATATCTATCCTACAAGTCCTCATAATACTATCTTACTTCCCCATTCCTTACAACAATCTCACTCTATCTTGAGTGGCTCTTGGGTCTTGTATTGGGTGAATTAACAGCTAAAAAAAAAAAAAAAAAAATGTGATGCAGTGTTGGGTCCTAAGAACTGCCAATAGACCAAGAAGACACAGATGACATGATGCAATAATAAAAAGTGGAAGGGCTTCAAATGTTTATATATATATATATATATATATATATATATATATATATTATTGATAAAACAAGGACAAACAAAAGGGTACCAATCAGTACAAAAAACATTTCTTAAATATTAATTATTAACCATACGACAGAAATGAAGCATGGAAAGAAAGGTTTTAAGTCCAAAATTGACAACTTGGTTGAACAATTTTCGGCTACACTGCCTACACACGATACGACTTCCCCATTTTGCAACTGATAACTCTCTTCATCTATGTTTACAGTCTTACTCCCCCTACTAATAATAATAGGCTGGCCTAATGCTTTTACACCGATCAAAATTTTAAATTTAAGTTTATTTTTTATAAAAAGTTTCAGACAGTGAAGAATCAGACAGAGATCAGGTTTTTGCTAATAATATGATTTCCACCAGAAAATATACTGTCCACAAAAACATCTGTCAGTGAGCAATTCCCAGAAAATATATTATCCCTACCAGTCATGAGTCCCAAGTTTGTGTTACTACCTACTCATTTCTAGAAGAGAAGAGAAATAGAAAGATGTGCTTGTCATTTTATAGAACTTAAACTGTGCTACCTAACAGCGTCTTGGCAGACAAATGGGGGTAATCCTCACAATATTCAATAGTTTCAATTAAACCAAATGAGTTACCTCCAATGTTTTATTCTAATACTGAAAAGAATAAAAGAATATATAAATATAAACCTTTTTTTTTTCTGAGTATAAAGAAATCTGAGCAAATTTGATCACCAGAAATTCAGTGGCAGGGAAGTTTTAAAATATGAGAAATAAAGGCCTTTCTATTTGAATATTATATTTTATATTGTACAGTTTAGTTGAATACATAAAGGATTTTAATTTTCTTCTTGTGCACAAATAAAGATGGTCAAATTTGGTCTTCAGAGATACTGTGGCTATGATGCTTAAAAAATATGAAAAATAAGGCCTTTCTTTTGACTATTTTGTACTGAACAGCTAATAAATCTTCATTTTTTTTTGCTGAGAATGAAGAAAGCTAAACAAATTATGTTCCCAGAAATTCAGTGGTTAGGTTTTTTAAAAATATGAAAAATGAGGGCTTTCTGTTGACTATTTTATACAGAAAGAATAAAAAAAGCCTCTTAAATTTCTTGCTAAGAATAAAGAAAGTAACTAAATTTGGATGATAGAAATTCCATAGCTAGGAAGTTAAAAAAAAATAAGGGCTTTTTATTGACTAGTTGATCTTATACAGAAAGAATCATAAAAAGCCTCTTAAATTTTTTGCTAAGAATAAAGACAGTAACTAAAACTGGACTAGAGAAATTCAGTAGCTAGGAAGTTAAAAAAAAAAAAAATATATGAGTATTACATTCTATTGATTGGTTGGCCTAATTTGGTCCAATGAAATCCAGTGGCTCAGAGATTAAAAAATATATATTTATTTAGGTCATTGGATTTTCTACTTAGAATCTCATTTTGTCAATAATCTTTGAATATATGCTTCTCTTTTGTCAAATTTTTGTGATGTTAATCGAGAAATTTTAGATGGCATTTTTTTCATTATTTCAAAATTAATATTTTTTGACAAAGTAACCCTATTTCACCCTGAGAAATTAATTTCCAACAAGAGGAAATGCTTCCTAAATTAGAAATTCTAGTTTTAAGATTGACAGGAGATAATAGCTGGCTACTCATTTCTGAGCACATTCATCTGTTAGGGCAGCTATCCAGTCCCCATTGCAGACGCCTGCTCAGGCATATTTGTGTTTGGTCAACCTCCACAGAGCCAACCTGCAGTTTATACTGTAACTATGTTGAGTGAACTGTAGTTATAGTTTCGGAGAGATAGAATGTGTGTGTTTGTGATCTGGCATAATAAACAGTTTAAATGAGGCCAGTACCATCAATGTCTTGTGACTTCATTTGTTCTACCCAATTTTATTTAAAAGGTTCAGGTCAACCTGTGGTATGGATTTTCAGACACTTTCCAAAGGTGCCATATGCTGAGATTGTCTCTCTAGTTTGTTAACATCAAGATATTCTGACAAATTGATTATGGTGAGATTCAGACCTAGCTCTCATGGCCAGAAAGCAGAAATCTAACCACCTGGACATGGGAAAAGAGGTAGCCAATTTGAATATTTAACCTAATCAGTATACTTTTGGAATAGTTTTAGGAAGAACCAATTTTAAACTCAAAAAATGTACAATTTATGCTTTTTTTCAGTGATTTTTGAGAGCTTGCTACCCCTTCCTTCCTCCAATCAGTATAGCTGATACTAACATCCAAGAGAATGACTTGCTTTCTCAGGCATACATTTGGTGGAAAGATTGTACTGAATCTATTGCTAGGTCTGCTGCTAAAAAAGTTGGTTCACTATCGTGCTAGACAATTTTTCTCTTCTAAAACTATCTTACATATTTTTAAGTTTATCATTCGTCCATGCTTTGAATATTGTTGCCACATATAGTACAGCGCTCCTACCATATATTTAGAGGTTTGCGATAAAATCCAAAGAAGAATCAGCAATATTATTGGTCTTAATCTGGTATCTCAGTTTCAGTCACTTTCCCATCACCATAAAGTTGCTTCCCTGTGCCATTTCTATAAATACTTTCATGATAATTGTTCAGATGAGCTCTTTGTTATGGTACCAAGACTTTATGAATTTCAGTGCAGTACTAGATTGGCAACAAGGTCTCATCAATTCACAGTTGAATTGGATAGATGTAACTGTAAGTTCTATGCTAACACTTTATTTTTTTTTTTGCACTTCTTGCTTGTGGAACTCTCTTCAAACCATGCCAATGTTGCTCTTCAAAAATTTTAACGCAATATCAGTTGTTATCTACTGTCTTTTTAATTACTCTTCTATTGTTCTTGTTTCTTGTAGAGTAAGTGACCATTGTTAAATGTAAATGGTAAAACTGCATAACAAACAGAATTGACAAAGTTTGTAACAAATAATGAAAATGAAAGAACAGTACCAAAAAAAAAAAAAAAAAAAAAAAAATAATAATATTGAGAAAGTAAACAATATGTGAAGACAAAGTAACAGTAATAAACCAAAAAGTTCACAAAGTAAGAATTGGTTTGGTTTTTGTTTTATGGCATATCAATCTCAATAGGCCATTCAATGCCGACAAAATTTTTTATTGCTGGTAATATTTTGTCTTGTTAAAAATCTGCTTCTGGTAATATATTTCTTTCAAAACTGTATTGCTGGTAATAGTTTTTTTTAAAAAAGTATTGTTGATAGTAGTTAACTATTTGCCCATAGCTGGGACCCTAACAGGTGCTACCACCCTGGGTCAGGGTGGACCTGGGAAAACCAGCAATTAAGAGGTGGTTCCACACTCCCCAAAACCTTCTGATCAGAGGCCTTGCTGCCGGACGTAGTTTTACCCAGGACATAAGAATTGGTGTTGACACAAGAGCAAATTCGAATAAATGAATGTAGTTTTTGGTTTGGTTTGTTTTGTTTTATGGCATATCAACCTTAATGGGTTATTTAATGCCGATAAAATTTTTATTGCTGGTAATGTTTTTCTTCAAAAATCTATTTCTGGGAATATTTTTCCTTGAAGAAATCTATAGCTGGTCATATTTTTTTCAAAGAATGTATAGCTGTTTGTATTGCTGGTCCCTTTTTTTTTTTTTTTTTTTTTTTTTTAAAGTATTGCTGATAATAATTTTTTCTTCAAAAATTATTGCTAGTAATATTTAGTATTTCTGGTATTAAAACCTATTTTTACACAAGTTTGGGTGTCAACTATTTGCCCATAGCTGGGATCCTAACAGGTGTTACCACCCCAGATCAAGGTGGACCTGGGAACGGCAGCAATTAAGAGGTGGTTCCTCGATTCTCAAAACCTCCTGATCAGAGGCCTTGCTGTTGGACATAGTTTATTGTCTTACCAGGATGCAGATGTTGTTTATCGTCATACACTGGACGGAAAGATGAGACCAAGAAGTAACCTGTTTTATTGGAGAGAAAGAAATCCCAGCATGCATTTGTGTGGTTTCGCCTATAAATTGGGGAGAGAGGGGAAGTATTTTGCAATCATTCTTTATCAGATTGGAATCAACACTCCTTAACAATGTTTTTCTTTTTTCTTATTCTTTCACAATTATACCTTAGTGGCTTTATTATCTTACATGGGGTGATATGGTGATTTTCTAAGCATAGCTTAGATATAGCACAAGGCCGAAAGTAAGGGGCACCCAGTGAGGACCAAATTCACTACTCAGTTGTAATTGATCTAGTGAGACAAACTTGCTAACCATTACACAACTTTGAAGTGGGGGGGGGGATAGGGCGTGGTTAAGATTAAAAAAAAAAAGGGGGAAAAAACAAAAGTTAAAAAAAAAATAAACAATATTATTATTGTAAAGATCATGAGAAACAGAAAAAAAAAATGAAATAAACTTGTCAATTGTGCTTGAGTTTGTTCAAAATAGAATTAATTAACAAAAATGGCCTAATTTTGTCTCCAAAAGTTCACTCCTGAGTCTTATATACTTAATGTTCACTTTTAGAAATTTATTGTCTATTGAGTTATATGCATTTTCAAATTTTTACTTTTGATGTTTAGCAAATAGGAAAATTTAAATAAAAATTACAAGTTTTCTACAGGGTAAAATGAAAATGTCAGAGAATTTCCTTTAATAGTGTAAAGAGTTGTTTTTTTTTTATTTTTTTAAAAATAAATGGTAACTTACCAGAAATGTCTCCCCTGGGATTTGTAGCAGCCAACATCTGGGCTGACATGAAGTTAACCTGAGAATTCAGAGAATATATAGAATGAAGATTACCAATTTTGACATTGAAATGCACAAAGAAGAAAAAAAAGGAAACATTTAACATGATACACACATAACAAAGATAAATTATGTAAATGCCCCTCATGTAACCTCTATATATATATATATATATATATATAAAAGTGTACATTGAAGTCAACATTCGGAGGCGACATGCTGTTTCATGCTAGGCGCAATTCTCAGGCCGCCTGATGATTGCGTCCATGTTGACTTCAATTTTCACTTTTATATTTACATACGCTCTATCTCTGATATTAAGCACTTTATCCCATAAATATAGCATATCTTAAAACTATATTTCTTCACACACACACACAAACATATATATATGATGGACTCTTCCATTGATTTCAATGCATGAGGATCCGACAACTTCACTCAGTTTTTATTTTTTATGTTTGTGTCATATCGGGCACCTCAGTCCTGCTAGTGACTTGAATACAAGACCACATATTATGCAACAGTAAGGCTCCAGGCTGGTTTGAATTCAGTTTTCCTTCTCCTAGACCAGTTACCACCCAAGGCTACAGAACCCAGTATTTTCCTGCTATTTACCCATAGCTGGTGGGGAAAAGATGAGGATTCATGCTTTTCCTGAGGGTATTAGCATGTAAGTGATTGTAATGGATACAACTAGAATTAAAACTCTCCTCTCCAATTCATATATATATATATATATATATATATATATATATATATATACATGCACACATACAAATACACATGCCTATATATATATATATATATATATATATATATATATATATATATATATACACACACACACTTCATTTATTTATTTTTTTTTTTGTTGAAAACTTAAAAAAGAAAATTATTTGAAAAAAATGAATTATACTTCTCATGACACTAGATCTAGCCACGAAACCAACTGGTATTATATGAACATAAAAGAAGTAATTATTAATTTAGAGTGGTGATTTAGCAACTATAAATTATTAATAATGGAAGGAAGCTAACTTGATTTAATATAAATTAGTAAAATTATTAGAGAAAATATATTATAAAAAAAAGATAAATAAATAAATATATAAATGGATAGAAATAAATAAATATTAAAAATAATATAAAAATATTAATAAAATATTATAAAAATAAAAAATTATTAAAAAAAAAATCAATATATCTATATTGAAGAACCAATTAAGAACCATAATATGTAATAAATATTAAATAAGTAAATAAGCAAATAGATAAATAAAACTACATTGAAAACTAAACCGCAATAGTAGAGAATAATTAATCTGTCTACATACTTTATTAGATATTTATTTTTATGCTGACATGTGACCATCAGTTCTTTTCTCTTGTTTAGTAAGCCTGAGTTATTCAAATGTAAGATAATCATTTTTTCAACTAAACACAGGCCATTATATTCCATTTAATCAAAGGTGAATTACCAGAGTCTTTCAATGGCTAGAAATAATTAGGGACAACAGCGCTCTTTCTGTATTTGATATTAGTCAAAGCCATATGGTGGTGGCAGAAGCAGAGCTTCCAAGTATTCTCAGTAGAACCAAAATAAAATTTAACATCAATACCGGAATGAATGTTGGTCATACACTGACTGTTTATATATATATATATATATATATATATATATATATTTATTTATTATTATATATTTTTCTCTAATAATTTTATTATTTTATATTAAGTCAAAACTTTTCAATTATTAATAATTTATAGTTGATAACATGCCACAATAAAAGTAAATTAATAATTACTTATCTTTTATGTTCATATGGTAATACCAGTTGGTTTAGCTGCTCGATTTAATGTCATGAGAGCCATAACTTTTTTTTTTTTTTTTTAAAGTTTTGGAAAAAATTATATCACTATATAATTAATGCTTAACTATGCCAGCATCATAATAAACTGAAATACATGCCCTCATTTGTAGGTGGAACAACGTCATTGAAAGAGGTGGTCACTATGTTCAGAAGTAGGGATAATGTACAAAATGTTTGATTGTCTTCCTTATTTCTTATATAATAAATTACATTATTTTTCACACACTCTTGTATATGCACAGTAGGACCTCACGTACAGAGGCCTTTACTAGAGTTTAAGGAAATCAGCAAAACAGGTTCAAAATTTATTAAACTAAAACTTCATTCCAAAAGGTGTAAAATATAAAAAACCAAAAACATTAATAATATTAAAAAAATAAAAAAAAAAATAAAACATTAATGTGTTAAAAATAAAACACCAATAATAATATTTGAAATATATATTAGAAAAATTTAAAAAAAAAAAAAAAAATATTAATAATAATATTTAAAAAATATGAAAAAAAAGAAAAGAAATAATCAATTTAAATATCTTGGAAGCATCAAAGTCGGAATGATTAGATCCTAAGAGGAAAAGCATAATTAAAAAAATATTTTGTCCAAATAATATGGCCAATGACAGCCAAAACATTAGTACCACTTCACGGAAGTTATATAAACAAGAGAGAGAGAGAGAGAGACAATTACTTAATAATAACTGTATTTTAAAAATATAAACAAAGTAAATGTCCTCAGAGTAAATAAAAAAAAAAGAAAAAAAGTTGACAGCTGCTTATGACGGAGGGTTAGTTTTTAGTCAAAGCTGTTGGTTATAAAAAAATAAAACTTATACGTATAAAGGTCCTTACCTGTGTATTGTATGTTGCCTGGACACTTCTCTTGATTCGTAACATCTCCCGGACTGTATCTTCATTTCCATGTTTGATCTCAAATTCCTTCCAGGTTTGCCAAAAATCTGGTGTCATCTAAAATCAAAATGAAAATAAAAAAAATTCCTATGAAGAAAAACCTTTTTCCCTTTTTGGACTTTTAGAATCAGCTCCACTATTCCACAAACTCCAGTGTTAAATTGCTTTCTCCAGTGATTGCAGCTTGCAAAAGGATATTTGAATAATTGAAATTACTATATCTTTTATTTTTTGTTCTCATACCATTTTGACTGATCCATTCTACTTCCTTCTTTAACTGTACTATCTAAGTGCAATTTTGCGAAAAAGAATCATTTAAAAGAAACTTTTGAACAATTTAACTCATTTTTTTTTTTTTTGTTGTTTCTATACCATTTTAACCAATCCATTTTATGGTCATTTCTTTTCTTTTTTTTTTAAATATGGCAAAGCAAATGTAGATACAGAAGATGATTATCGCCCTTTGGTCAAGATAAAGTCACATGATGGCTGCTTAGAGACGTCACTTCATACAGTGAGAGTCAACTTTTAGGAGTCAAACCGAGTAGTTACATTTTTAGCATGAACTCCTCGTCCAAGTCCAAATCTGCCTCCCCAAGCCACATGGCACAGCTAACAAGCCTATGGCACCGTTTTTCTATACAAATATATCTTCACCAGATATAGACAATATATCTGGCTTGCAATCATGTTGAGAAAAACTCCAATGCTCCCTATTTCCCGTTTGTGGAAGATGTCCTCATTACCAACATAGCAGATGAATCCAGCCCGCTTGAATATGAAATCCTACATACTCCACAGAATTCTCCAGAAACACAGAGGAATCTCTGGCAGCTTCAATTCCCACTGAGAATTATGATACATAAGACACTTCTTTTTATCCTCTTTTCACACTGCTTGCTATTGTAGGCATTAATTTCCATTATTTGGTGACTAACTCCAACATGACTGATGATATTTACCTCCATTATAAAGATTGGTAGCAAATAGAATAACTAACTGCTAACAGTAACACTTGTAAAATAAGTTATTCTATTTTCACTAACACATGTAGTACAGCTGGTTCCATGTTTTATATATAAACTGCATAATAAATTATTCTGTTAAAAATAATTGAACATGCTGTACTTCACATGTTATTGAAAATAACATTTTTGATAATGCATGCAGCATAACTTGTTCCATTATAACATAGATATTTTAAAATAAATTATTCTATTTTCAAATACACCAAAGATGGGTTCATTATTTTTAACAGAGATATTTTCAATTGGCCACCTTTTTTTTCTTTTAGTTCAGGCCCCAAGGCTCACTCAAGGTAAAGAGTTCTTTATGTGCCATGTCCCTTCAGGACGTAGATGATCATGGCTCTCCACAATTTCCTCTCTTTCATAGTTCTTAAATTTTGTCTTTTAGTTATTTCTCCTAAACCCTATTCTGCCATTAATTTACTCAAGCTCACTAAGAAAATTATGTGTTGTTTTCAATCTTTCCTGTGAGTATCAGATTTTCCAAGCCCTCTTGCCTCATTATGTGTCCTAGAAATTTAAACTGTCTCTTCCTGATGTTAAGTATAAATCATTTTGTTTCCATTTTGTCTAAAACTTTGTTGTTGCTCATATATTCAGTCCATGGTACCCTCAGCAGACTTCTGTAGAACAACATTTATGTTGGTTCAAGTCTCTTCTTCATCTGTGAGGAGATTGTCCAGCATTCACTGTCATATAGAAGGATTGATATTACATAACAGTTCAGCACTCTTTTCTTTGTTTCTGTTGGTTCAAGTCTTTTCTCCATCTGTGAGGAGATTGTCCAGCATTCACTGCCATATAGGATGACTGATATTACATAACAATTCAGTACTCTTTTCCTTGATTCTCTTGCTTCACGTCTCTTCATCTGTGAGAAGATTGTCTAGCATTCACTGCCATATAGAAGGATTGATATTACATAACAGTTCAGCACTCTTTTCTTTGTTTCTGTTGGTTCAACTCTTTTCTCCATCTGTGAGGAGATTGTCTAGCATTCACTACCATATAGGATTGATATTACATAACAGTTCAGTTCATTCTCTTGCTTCACTCTTTTCTTTTGATATTACATAACAGTTTCTTTGTTTCTGTTGGTTCAACTCTTTTCTCCATCTGTGAGGAGATTGTCTAGCATTCACTACCATATAGGATGGCTGATATTACATAACAGTTCAGTACTCTTTTCCTTGATTCTCTTGCTTCACGTCTCTTCATCTGTGAGAAGATTGTCTAGCATTCACTGCCATATAGAAGGATTGATATTACATAACAGTCCAGCACTCTTTTCTTTGTTTCTGTTGGTTCAAGTCTTTTCTCCATCTGTGAGGAGATTGTCTAGCATTCACTACCATATAGGAGGACTGATATTACATAACAATTCAGTACTCTTTTCCTTGATTCTCTTGCTTCACGTCTCTTCATCTGTGAGAAGATTGTCTAGCATTCACTGCCATATAGAAGGATTGATATTACATAACAGTTCAGCACTCTTTTCTTTTGTTTCTGTTGGTTCAACTCTTTTTCTCCATCTGTGAGGAGATTGTCTAGCATTCACTACCATATAGGATGGCTGATATTACATAACAGTTCAGTACTCTTTTCCTTGATTCTCTTGCTTCACGTCTCTTCATCTGTGAGAAGATTGTCCAGCATTCACTGTCATATAGAAGGATTGATATTACATAACAGTTCAGCACTCTTTTCTTTGTTTCTGTTGGTTCAACTCTTTTCTCCATCTGTGAGGAGATTGTCTAGCATTCACTACCATATAGGATGGCTGATATTACATAACAGTTCAGTACTCTTTTCCTTGATTCTCTTGCTTCACGTCTCTTCATCTGTGAGAAGATTGTCTAGCATTCACTGCCATATGGAAGGATTGATATTACATAACAGTTCAGCACTCTTTTCTTTGTTTCTGTTGGTTCAACTCTTTTCTCCATCTGTGAGGAGATTGTCTAGCATTCACTACCATATAGGATGGCTGATATTACATAACAATTCAGTACTCTTTTCCTTGATTCTCTTGCTTCACGTCTCTTCATCTGTGAGAAAATTGTCTTTCATTCACTGCCATATAGAAGGATTGATATTACATAACAGTTCAGCATTTTTCTTTGTTTCTGTTGGTTCAAGTCTTTATCCATCTGTGAGGAGGATCATTCACTGCCATATAGGATGACAGATTCACAATTCAGTACTCTTTTTCTTGATTCTCTTGCTTCTTCATCTGTGAGAAGATTGTCTAGCATTCACTGCCATATAGAAGGATTGATATTACATAACAGTTCAGCACTCTTTTCTTTGTTTCTGTTGGTTCAAGTCTTTTCTCCATCTGTGAGGAGATTGTCCAGCATTCACTGCCATATAGGATGACTGATATTACATAACAATTCAGTACTCTTTTCCTTGATTCTCTTGCTTCACGTCTCTTCATCTGTGAGAAGATTGTCTAGCATTCACTGCCATATAGAAGGATTGATATTACATAACAGTCCAGCACTCTTTTCTTTGTTTCTGTTGGTTCAAGTCTTTTCTCCATCTGTGAGGAGATTGTCTAGCATTCACTACCATATAGGAGGACTGATATTACATAACAATTCAGTACTCTTTTCCTTGATTCTCTTGCTTCATGTCTCTTCATCTGTGAGAAGATTGTCTAGCATTCACTGCCATATAGAAGGATTGATATTATATAACAGTTCAGCACTCTTTTCTTTGTTTCTGTTGGTTCAAGTCTTTTCTCCATCTGTGAGGAGATTGTCTAGCATTCACTACCATATAGGAGGACTGATATTACATAACAATTCAGTACTCTTTTCCTCGATTCTCTTGCTTCACATCTCTTCCTTATCTTTGAGGAGATTGTCTAGCATTCACTGCCATACAGGAGACAGATATCACATAACACTTCTATACTCTTTTCATTGTTTCTAACAAAGTTTCTGTTTCTTAATACTCTGCTTAGACTGAATAAAATTAGTGTGAGTTAGGAGGAAGTAAGAAGTGCATATTATGAGGATATGTAGGATAGATATTAGTTGACCTAGTGCTTGAAGAGGTCAATTGTAGCAAACAGGAAAGCATCATCTCCGGAGTCTGTTCCACAAAGTGACAGTTCTGGGGAAAAAGTTGTCTTGTTAAACATAAAATACCATGCACTGTTCTTTTCTGAACAATGAAAGACAACATTGAAATTCATACCAAACGAAGTTCTTTAACAAGGAAAGGAATTGGCTGAGTATCACATAATCCTGAAAGTTTTTTATTATTTATTTATTGCTGATATCTCCTGACGAGTGGACGGAGTGATTGTTGGAGGGTTCGCCAATGAAACTCTAGTGTCGGTATGCTGAAGGTAACAATCATCTATGTTATAAATTTTATATTTGTATTAATTCTATTTATTTACACATTTTATTTGTTTTACTTATGGATAGCAGGTGGTTTCTTTTTATCCTAAGACCACGGCCCAGATAAAATCATCTATAGTCCACTTGACTACAGGAATGTCGAAACTAGTTGAGTAAGGGTCCATTGTGTAACAAAGCCAATAAAAGCAATCATTGCCGTGGAGCAGCTGATGAGATATCTCACAAGATATTTTTATTGTCCTTGCTAGTATATCAGATAATGAATCCAGACAATTCATAGAGTGTGAAGATGGCAGTAATTTTCATGAATTAGCTGATAAAATATATTAGAAATTTCTTTGCCTTGAAAGGACTAATGAGATATCTTTATTCTTACTCAACAGTGTATAAGATAGCGATTCAAAAAACTTGTTGATGGTGATGAAGCCAGTGAAAACAATGACTGTCTCGGAGTAGCAGACAACATTTTACCTGAGACATAATTTTGTCCTGGCTCTTATAATAACTACACCCCCCCACCACCAAAAAAAATAAAAAAATAAAAAAAAATAAACAATAACTTACCCTTGGGTCACACATTTGTGAACAGTGTCCATAAATAGCTCGGGCACGATCAATTTCACCCAGTTTTCTCTCTAAATCTGAGAATCGTAGACACATTTCCCTGAAAAAATGGTAAGGACATTATCAATAAGTCACATATTAAACAACCAGCCAAAATGCTTTGTTTCAATTGGAAGTGAAAAGTGAATTGGAAACTTTAAAGAAAACTTGGTGACATAGTGCTAATGTCGAAAGTACTTGGAATAAATAATATGTATGAACACAGTAATTTTCTCTCTTCCATTAATAATGACACCAAAAAGCTTGTCTGTGAATATGAAAGGATCCAATTAAAAATAAGTTACTATTACTAACACTATTGTTTTATATATATCTTCAATATACTTTCTTCAACCAACCTTCGTCTTCTGCGTCTTTCTTTCTGGCCCCTAAACAGGCCACAACACTATCCATAAAGAGCTGAAATTGTGGAACTGAAGAATATAGATCACCTGAACATTTGCTATAGAAATAGCAAGGGAGTAGTGAGGCTTGGGACTTTAAGTAGAAAAGAGGCTGGAGAGTGGACAATATGTCTTCTATAAAACCAAATAAGGATTTTGAATTCAATCAAGGCTGCAAAGTGAAGACTAGGCAGTTGCAGCCCAGATATGGCAGAAATATTCCATTTTTGGTCTCATCTGACTCTTGTAAAAATAAAGCATGGCAGAAGGAGTTCAGTACTTAGTGGAGTGATCAAATGATCCAATCATTTTCCCCAGCATTTTTAAAAATAGATCGTGTATTCCACTTGAGGTCTGGAGAGAACAGGAAATGAGCAATGGAGTTTTTGTTTGGAGTTTATCTCGATCTGGAAAGGTACTGTATTTGATAGCATATGAGGTGAATTTTTTTATTAAAATATCTTTTAAAATTTTCCTTTCATATGTAGGCTTAAAATTTGCGATAGTTGTGAAATCTTTTAAAAAGTGTGGCATTAGCAATGCTCTCAATGGAACGGAAGATGATGCATTATTTAACAATGATGATAGTAGTACTGAAAATGAGTATCAGAGTTTTGATAACGAAAACGAATTTTATGAATTTAAAGAATAAAATTTTAATGGTATCTGTACTGTTTTGCTAAATTGTAATAATTGCTTGATTTTTATTTTGTTTTCTGACCTTTGGATATAATAAAGTTTTTATAGGCTCATGTTCTTTATTTTCCTATTATTTTTATTTAATTGTAATCATGGCTTGTTTAACCAAAATAATACTTCATAAATATAGCCTAGGCTGTACCATTTACTAATAATTTTACTAATTACTAATTTTTTTCTTGATTTGCTCTGTTGAAATTGGGGTGTATCTTATACACTTGTCTTATATGTGGTCAAATACAGCAGTTATTATTATTTTCTTCTGTTGTTGAAAGCTGCTGCCATTTTTTCTTATTTTCCATGTTATTTTTTATGTGTTTTGATTTGTCTATATTTCTGAAATGAAGTATTGCTACTATACTGTAGACTGTTGTCCTCATCTTTATTGTTATATTCACGGTGTTTCGACCATTGTATGCTCCAGCCTTCTTCAGGTGATATACGTTGGAATTTTGAACCGGACTCTTTATTTAGTCCACGGGGGTAGATTGTTCTAGTTCCACATGCCATGCCTTTTCTGGATATCTCAGTTTCAGTTAATTCCTTTTAGCAACTCAACTCTCTAAGTTTTTGTTCACCTCTGCTGTGACACATGGCCCAGTGGATAAAAATGTTGGTTGAAACAATCCAGTGATTTGACCCGAGGATTTGTGAGTTCAATACCTGGCCACAGCATGTTGTGAATAAAGATGAGCACAACAGTTCAAACAATGTAAATAGTCTAACTAGTGTTTTGGTTTGATTTTGTGCTGCCATATGTTTTCATATTAAAATGATAGAATTTATGAATTTATATGGAATAAATTGTATAACTCTGGAAAGATAATTATCATTATTTTCTCCTCATGGCAAAGATTTGTATGATGGCATTGTTGAAAGTTGCTGCTGTTTTTCTTATTCTACATGTTACTTTTAATGTGTTTTGGTTTGTTTTTATGTTGCCATATATACAGCGTAAACCAAAAGTCGGTGGACAGTAGGTTGAATAAGGTTTGTATTAGTTTTATAACTATGGTGTTTTGTGTTTTATTAAATTTTATAAATAAATTTATTTAAATTTAATCTTTTTTCTTTTCAGATATTTCAGAGAACCCAAAATGGCAAATAATTTAATAATGATGCAAGAGAATGGCTGCTAAGAGAGTATTGGAAGTCTCAAAATGCTGAAACCATTAAAACAAAATGAGTTGAAATATTTCCTGAGAAGTGGATTGGCTGAAGATATCCAATGGGGTTGCATGTTCACCTGACTTAACTGCAATAGATATTTTTTTCTTTTGGGGAGGACTCAAGAACAAAGTCTATAGTCGAAAACCACAAATTGTAGGTGATTTGAAAAATTACATCAGAGATGAATTTCAACAAATTAATACACAAAGATGCTTGTGCAAAAATGTTTTTCAAAGGTAGACTTCAAATATGTGTAAATTATGATGGAAAGCTGTTTGAGCACCTGTGTTGATAAAATTTTCAGTGCTTTTATATTATTGTATACAATAAAATTGTATATGTAACAACTGTTCAAATTCTTTACAGATGTTCCTTTTTCTAATTTCTTCCCTAACTCCATCATTTTCAAGCAGAGATAAAGATTTATTCTTATGCTTCTTACCTCTAGCAGCATCCATCTACACCTCTTGCTCACTTAGGTATCATCCTGAAAGGACAGATATGCTGCGATATATAAGAAATGAGCAAGACCGTATCACCAAAACACTCTGCTGCTGTGGAAAGTATGTGGTGCTGCTCTTGAAGCTACTCAATCATGACTTTTTAAAAATGGGCATTTTGTTATAGCTATACAAGGAGGCTTTCTGTCAGTTTTTGTGCAACCAGACAAATCCTCACTTGTGCCTTGATTCTTGTTCATGTGAGTGTGCGTAAAAAACTGGAAAAAAAATATTGTACATTTACAAAGACAAAGGTGAAACTAATGTCACAATGTTTCCAGAATATTTGGTTGTTTATTCAGGGATTCACTTGCATGATCTGGTGGGGTGGATAGGTGACACTTGGGACAACTTCTGCTAATTCTGTCATGAGAGACTGACAAACAAGATCTTCCTTTAAGACAATGAGAACTCTGACTGTTACCACTCCTCTTCTGTCCATTTCTGCATCTGAACATGCACCTCACAACTCTTTGCTGATAGTTGGCCCAGAACTTTATTTGACAGATTGTACCTCCCAAGGAGCAGCATTAAGCTACTTTCAATTCTGTGACTGTTTAGTAAAACTTTAACTTCTGATCAAGTGGCACTTGTTCTTAAAATGTTTTCCTTTATTTATCTATTTATTCCCTTTTGGTCAAGTGGGTTGTCGCTTTGTAGATCTTACTTCATCAACTTTACTGCTGGTCATAAAACATCAAACACTTTAGACTTAGAGAAAATCATTTCCTGTCCATTTTTATCTGGGTGTCCTGATCCCTTTGTGTAAGGGAACCACTGAGTCATATTTTAACAAATTTTCCAGTCTAGTATTTGCAGCACAAATGTGAAATTCAACACTCACCTTGCTTGTTCATCTGGAAGGACATCAATTGCTTTTTCATAGATGCTGCGAGTGTGTGTTACACCATAAATTTCTGCAGCTCTTTTCAAGTAAATATTGAACATCTGGGAGGGGAAAAAAAGAAATGTTAAATTTTTAAATTCCATACAAAGATATATTCATTGCATATATGCATACAGAAACAGGTGGTAAACTTTATGCAAACATGTATGCCTTATCTATAAATATACTATTGCTACATAAACATAGATGAAAATGTTACATATATAAACATACAATTGTGTATAAAAATAGGTACACAATTTCAAAAACAAGTGTGTGTGTGTATGTATATATATATATATATATATATATATATATAAATATATATAAATATATATATATATATATATATATAAAAAAAAATAAAAAATTAATAATATAAAAAAAAAAAAATCAATTTTCAAACTCTTATTTAAATATATATATATATATATATATATATATATATATATATATATATATATATATATATATATACATACAAAATTCCATTAATTTTAAATGCCAAATATAATTTTTTAAATTAAAAACTGTAATCCCAGTGTAATATATAACTGCTCCAACATTGCAATAACCTGATATTTTTTTAATTTAAATTACCTGTCAGTCTATACTCAGCACCTGAAGATTACGTTGTGCATGAAACTCAGTCTTGCTATTGGTGAAGGATATGTATATTTATTAATATATACTTAATAGCTTTGTTGTATTAAATTGAGCACCTTTTTTATTAACACTGGCACTTTATATGCAATATTATATATATATATATATATATATATATATATATATATATATATATATATATATTAATTAAAAAACTAGAAATGTTGTATTGCAGGCCATGATAAGTTTAAAATAAAACACACACCAGTCGACGGGTTTTGTCCCTCTCGTCAGAACTGTTAACGGGGAATTTAGATTATGAGGAAAAAGAAAAAAAAAAAGTCTGTCATGGGTGACATGAATGAATGGACAGGAAGGAAGGAAAAAAAAAAAAAAAAAAAAAAACACATGACAGACTTTTTTTCTTTTCCTCATAATCTAAATTCCCCGTTAACAGTTCTGACGAGAGGGGATGAAACCGGTCGACACCGGTCGACTGGTGTGTGTTTTATTTTAAACTTATCATGGCCTGCAATACAACATTTCTAGTTTTTAATGCCTTAATACGCTTTTGTACCGTTTCAAACCTATTTATATATATATATATATATATATTTCTCATAATAATTCATTGAGTTTAGAACAAGAATCTTCAACAGAATGCATTCTGATGAGGATTCTTGTTTTAGACTCAATGAATTATTATGAAAAATTATTCAAATCTCCAAAAATTTCTATCATTTATATACACACACACACACACACACACATAAATGCTTGTTTTTGAAATTGTGTGTGAATTCACAAACGAATTTGAAATAAACAATTCTCTACTTTTCCTAGACATCTTATTAATATGTGACAATAAGAAATTAGATTTTAATGTTCATCGTAAGCCCACTAGCAAAAACAATCTAATCAATTTCTATTCTCACCACAACCAAATAAAATCTGGACTAATCATAGGATTCTACCTCAGAGCTCTGAGGAGGTGTAGCCCTGAATACCTGAATGAAGAAGAGAAATATACTGAGAAAATATTCTATTTCACTACCCACACCATTTCATCCTTAATGCTAAAAAATGAGCTAACAAAATCCACAAAGACAAGAAAAACAGATACCCCTAATACCACTTCTAACAAAAATTGCACAAAATTCATAATCCTACTCTCCAACAATCTTCCTAATAAACTCACAAACAAATTAGTCATCCTTAATACTAGGATCATTACTACCACCTCCAAGACAATCAGAGATGTAATTAGGAAGAAAAATAAACCCAACACCAATTCAAATACTGGGACTTATCAAATAAATTGTTTACAATGCAAAAATGTTTATGTCAGGGAGATATCACTTGATCTAAAAACCTGCATCTATGAACACAAGAGAGATTTGTGTTTAGACAATCAATCAAACTCTCTTGTATTGCACAGAAATGCTGGACATAACTTTGATTTCATGAATGCTATCCTAATTAAAAAAAAAAAAAAGGACATAATTCTTTGGGGAGAAAATACTTTGAAAGTTTAATAATAACATTATTACCAACTATAAACACACACCTAAACCATTACATTGCCATCCTTTTTTTGGAATCCATGCTTAAAGAACCTAACTTACATCTAATACAAAGAGTATGTGATTAAAAAGATCAGTCCCAGATTAGAGTAGGATGTCACCCTATTGTGCCGGCTGACCACACAAAGGTGAAGACATTAGAACTCCTCCTACTAGACAGACACACAACAATTACAAATACACATTATTATCCGAAGATCATTTAGACATACAAGAATCTTTACAAACTTACATACATATAGAATTATCTACAGTTTTAATGCACATGATATGTGACTGACCAATGAGAATTGACCGAAACAAAATTGAAAATGTCAATGTTTCTGCCTTTTTGTCTGTTTACTTTCAATCTCTGACGAAGCTTTAATAAAAGGGAAATATTAGTGTTGTGGGGCTCTCCCCTTTTTACATAAGATGGACTTGTCGAAAGTATACTTATACTGACAGAGAGAATACCTGCTGTGGAGATACGTTGAGACAGGTTGAGAGATATGGAGACAGACACCGGGTGTTCTCAGAGAGTTATACAAGAGCCCAGAGAGAGAGATGATTATGGTTTTACTTACAGAGACTTGTACATATACTTTCTACTAACCCACATTCCTGGACTACTAATCTTCACTTCAAGTCTGTATTCTTACGCTTAATACACTTATTTTTCTATCTCAATTACTGGCGTTGTTTATTTATTTGTGCAGGATTCCATTCACGGAATCCACAACAGTTAGATATATAAGTTTTCTATTTATTCATTATCTTATCCTGTCGGATTCTGATCTGCATTTGATCTTGAACTCTATATATATATATATATATATATATATATATATATATATATATATAGATAATATTAGTGGAAAATATACATACATATGAAAAATATATCTAAAAATTCCCATACATGTATATTTTCAGAAAAAAATTTTTCCAAGAGGAAGGATCCAGGTAGAACTCAATGTCTAAGACAGAGTAAGGATATAATAAAAAGGCTTAAACACTAATATTCCATGGTCATAATTTATTCCATTGGAATCGTAAATACGATCCAAATCATCAGACCTACAAATTCAAAATGAAAACAGAAAAAAACAATGAGTATGTGTATGTGTGTGTATATGTGTGTATATTTGTATGTATATGTATATATGTGTGTATGTATGTAAGTGTATATATATACGTATGGAGGTGTTTATGTTATGTATGTATATGTATAGGTGTGTATGTGTACTTATGTGTATACATGTTTATGTGTGTGTGTGTGTGTGTGTGTGTGTATATATATACACGTGTAAGGGGTGTGTATGTATTTGCATGTGTATATATATACATGTATAAGGGTGTGTATGTATTTGCATGTGTATATATATACATATGTAAGGGTGTGTATGTATTTGCATGTGTATATGTATGTGTATATGTATGTATGTGTGTGTATATGTATGTATGTGTGTATATGTATGTGTATGTGCGTGGATGTATGGGTATATGTGTGTATATATATATATATATATATATATATATATATATATATATATATGTATATGTATATATGTATGTATAGGTATATATATATGTATGTGTGTATGTATGTATATGTATGTGTATGTATAAGTATGTATGTATGTATGAATGTATACATGGGGCATATGTATGCGTGTATATGTATGTGAAAAGTGTGTGTATATGAATATAGATGAATATGTGTATGTGTGGATATGTGAATATATTTTTAGGTTTTTGTATATATATATATGTATGTATGTTTGTATATGTGTATATATATATATATGTATATATGTGTGTATATGTATATATATATATGTGTGTATGTATGTGCATGTACACGTATGTCTGGGTGTGTGTGTGTACATGCCTAAGTGTATGTACCTACTTGTATATGTTTTTTTTTTTTTTTTTTTTTCTTTTTTTTTTGTGTGTGTTAGTATGTGTTTTTGAACATAGAAATATTTGGTCCTTATGAAATGAGACAATCGTTATATTCATCTTCATATATTTATATTTGATTTTAAATTTTAAGTAAACACAATTTTTATTTTCCTTCGTCCCATCCTCTCCCCCCCCCCCCCCTTTTTTTTTTTTTTTTTTTTTCCTTCCTATCCGAATTGTCTGTGGTGTGTATATGTCACCAATGAAATGTATCTTTTATGTATTAGACATCCGTCGACTTTCTTTCTCTCCTCTTTTTAAATCCACCCCACCCACATCTCCAAAAATTCTCTCTGTCACTCATCCTCATACTTACACTTTCTCTAAATTCTGTTTTGATTTCCGGAGTTGTTTTTTTCTGTTTTCATTTTGAATTTGTAGGTCTGATGATTTGGATCGTATTTACGATTCCAATGGAATAAATTATGACCATGGAATATTAGTGTTTAAGCCTTTATATATATATATATATATATATATATATTTTTCGTGGATACTTGTATTCAAGTAGATGCTCTGTTCATTTATTCAACAGCATATTTATTTATTTTTGAATGTAATATTTAAGAAATTTTATTAGAGAAAATTATGCACTCTCCAGCAGGATTCAAACCTTTGTTCCCCCAGGGGAAAAAACCATTAGATCTAACATGCTTTGACCACTCAGCTACAGAGTGTATTGATGATCAAGCAATGCTGAATAGTGCCTTTAAATAAAGATTTTTCTCTGACTTTTGTAATAGACATATCTGCTCAGTTTCGTATCTTAACGTAAACAAAGCAATTTCTAAAGAAACGAATGGAAAAATCTGTTGCATTAATGAATAAAAAATCCATTTCTTTCTTTGCACATATATATTATAGGAAAATTCATGACAAAGTGGAAAATTATTTAATGAAGTACAAAGATTACTTACCTCATATTTCTCTTCATCCATAACACTTTCAATGGCACGATCATAGACTCTCATAGCATGTCGTGCGAGGCCATGTTCTTCTTCAAGTTTTGAGTACAACAAATAAATGGCTATAAAGTAAAATAAAAATGAGAATTAATAAAAAGTGAAATATCAAAACATTATTTGACTGGAAATTATTTTAGAGAAGGTAATTGCATTTTGATTCATTAGGACTAATTTCCTCATCTTTATTGTTTTTATCATAATATTTTAGCCAGTTTGAATTATTTTAGAGATGGTGATGTAATCATTGTATTTTCATTCATTTGGACTAATTTCCTAACCTTTGTTATTTTTATTATCATATCTGTCAGATTATCTTAGACAAGGTGATATAATAATTGCATCATTCAGATTATTGAGAAATCAGTTTTCATGTACTTCCCTAGCCAAATTACATGTTTTTCTTTGTGATATTTTCTTAATCTGACCATCGCATAAGAGATTTCATTTGTTAAATTGCTGGTTTCCCGACCAAATTGTTGAAAAATTTGAATATGTGATGTTTGGGCAATTAAACTGATATATCTCAAAGTTGATTTTACATAAAAGTAAATTGATTTCGCTTTTAAACGATACCAAATTTAAGAAACACAGAAAGAATTAGAAAGACTAAAGAGAAAATGATGTCTTACCCTTAGCAAATTTGGATGGGCAACCTTCCAGGCACTGTTCAAACAAATCTCGAGCTCTTTCAAGCTTCTTGCCACCCTGAAATAAGGCAGATATAAAAAGGAAATGATAAGCAGAATGAAGGACTTTAAAAAATAAAATAAAATTGTCATGGGCACTACTTAAATGGTACAATTGTATAAAAAAAAAAAAAAAAAAAAAAAAAAACAAGAGGAAAATATTGCTTCAAAATAATTTTTGCAGCATTCATTAGACCTTTTTTCAGAGAAATTATTACCTTGCTTGGCATGAAATAATAATAATAATAAAAAAAATAAATTTGATTTTTTATCATTTTTTAGAAGGTGCGGGGGGAGATGTTGTTTATAATATAAATACAGTGTCAAACTGATCACTGACTTCTAAAAGAGTTATCCAGATTTTTTTTTTTTTCATTTATTATTAAGTTTGATAATCCCGGTGATTCTATTTTATAAATGTGGGATGGGGCAGGGGGAATTTCCTGCTCGCTCCTTACCAAGACCACACTGTGCTGTTATTTATATTGGCCCATCTTGTGTAACTTGTTGATAATTCAACATCTGCTGCTTCCTTTAATTTCCTCACTTTCCAGCAGTATTTCCTGTCAATTATCTGAACCTCACTAAATATATCATACCACCTTTTCTACTCCATTTCGGACATGGCTTTCTTATGCTTTTTAAGTTGTTTTTTCCATTATATTTTTCTATATTTGCATTATATACTGTTAAATACAATTAAAGTGCGATTCTGATTTATAGGAAAACAAAATAAATTTTTATCTATCAAAAACAATTTTAGGGAAAAAACTATGACAAAGTGGAAAATGATTTTGTGTAACATTTATTTTCCTTTACAACTTCATTAGACTAATTTGATTTGTTTAACAGCATATCAACTTCTTATGGGTCACTTAATGCTGAAATTTAATTTTCTTGGGAGCCTTGAAGTAGAAAAAATATGTTATTAAGCTTTCACAATTGAATACATGGTAGATGATACTCAGCTTTTGCACATGTTTGTGTGGACATGATTACTAGAGGTAGTCGTGTGTTTTATGTTGTAGCTTTTTGTTGAAGTTATATTTTGGAATACAGTTTGATTTAAGAAATTGCAGGATATTATATGGACTAATATCATGAAAGAGTTCTTTCATATTGGTTGTTTGGTAGTATTTAAGTTAAATTTGGGTGAAGTCACTAGAATATTTTAATATGTATGTATTGTTGGCAATTTTTTTTTTATATAAAAAAGTATTGCTGGTATTTTTACCATAACAATGTATTTTTATACTTTCATAGTATTTTTTTATCACTATTTGCTCATAGCTGGTACTTTAACAAGTGCTACCAGTCCGGTGCAGGGTGGACCTGGGAACAACACCAATTAAGAGGTGGTTCCATGCTCCTCAAAACCTCCAATCTCCCAATCAGAGGCCTTGTTGCTGAATGTAGTATATTGTCATATCCAGGACTAGCAATTAAGAGGTGGTTACATCCTCCTCAAAACCTCCAATCTCCCAATCAGAGGCCTTGTTGCTGAATGTAGTATATCGTCATATCCAGGACTAGCAATTAAGAGGTGGTTACATCCTCCTCAAAACCTCCAATCTCCCAATCAGAGGCCTTGTTGCTGAATGTAGTATATCGTCATATCCAGGACTAGCAATTAAGAGGTGGTTCCATGCTCCTCAAAACCTCCAATCTCCCAATCAGAGGCCTTGTTGCTGAATGTAGTATATCGTCATATCCAGGACTAGCAATTAAGAGGTGGTTCCATGCTCCTCAAAACCTCCAATCTCCCAATCAGAGGCCTTGTTGCTGAATGTAGTATATCGTCATATCCAGGACTAGCAATTAAGAGGTGGTTACATCCTCCTCAAAACCTCCAATCTCCCAATCAGAGGCCTTGTTGCTGAATGTAGTATATCGTCATATCCAGGACTAGCAATTAAGAGGTGGTTACATCCTCCTCAAAACCTCCAATCTCCCGATCAGAGGCCTTGTTGCTGAATGTAGTATATCGTCATATCCAGGACTAGCAATTAAGAGGTGGTTACATCCTCCTCAAAACCTCCAATCTCCCGATCAGAGGCCTTGCTGCCAAATGTAGTTTATTGTTCATCAGACATAAGTATATTAAATATTAAGTATATTAAAATATTAAATTATATATGAGGTTGACGCAACTACACATGCGGACAAAAGAAAGGGGACTTGGGGAATTTTAAATTTAAATTTTGTTTTTCTTATTATCATAATGTGGGATATTTAATAATGAAAGTGATGGAAACATAAATAAAAAAATAATGAAGATAAATGAAATCGGCTAGATGATATGCCCAAAACGAATCGGCTAGATGATATACCCAAAACATACATTTTAAAAAATAAAAAATAAAATTTAAAATTCACAGCACCCCCTTTCCTTCATGTGCATGTGTAATTACAACAACGTAAACATCATTTTAATATACCGATACGTCCTAAGGAATGAAATTCATTACATAAAAACATTTTCCCCAAATTCAAATTTATAAAATGGTGGGATATAACCCCTAACCTCTTTTCTGCAGAATAAAGGAAACCACGGCAGAGCAAATCTTCTTTTATGTGCTGTGTCCCTTCAGGATGTAGGTGATCATGGCTCTCCACTTCTTCCTATCCTTTGTAGCTCTCAGTAAGTTTTGTCTTTTTGTTATTTCTCCCAGACCCTGTTCTGCGATCCACTTACTTAAGTATGTCACGTATTGCTTTCCTTTGTCCCTCTATCTGCTCTCTGAGTATCAGATTTTCCAAGCCCTCCTTTCTCATTACGTGTCCTAGAAATTTCAGCTGCCTCTTTCTGAAGTTAAGTATAAGTTTCCTCTTTGTTTCCATTCTCTCCAAAACCTGGTTGTTGCTCACATGTTTGGCACATGGTATCCTCAGCATCCTTCTGTAGAACCATACTTCTGTTGCCTTGAGTTTCTTCTTCATCTTTGAGGACACCGTCAAACATTCCCTGCCGTAAAGGAGGATAGATATCATGTAGCAGTTCAGTACTCTTTTCTTTGCTACCAACAAAACCCTCCCTGTCGTGTAATATTCTGCCTAACTTTTGGAATGCATCTTTGCCCATCCCAATATGTCTTCCGATCTCAGTGTCACACTTATGCTTCTCTGTCAGAACACTTCCTAGATATTTAAATTTCTGCACATGCTTGATTTTTGTGTCCCCAATCTCTAAATTGCATTTCAGGGTCATCTTTTTGTTGTAGTTTATATTTAATACTTTCTTCTCACTCTCCTTCATTACATTCTGTAGGAGGTTTTGTAGTTTTCTTTCTGTATCCGCTATCAGCACTATGTCATCTGTGTATCTTATGTTGTTAACATTGTGGCTCTCAATGCTGAATCCTGGTAGGATTTCCAGTTCTCTCAGAATTGCCTCAGTGTATAGGTTGAATAAATCCAGTAAGAAGACATATCCTTGCCTTACATCAGTGGTGTAAGGCAAGGATGTGTCAATGAGCAGAAAGCTCAACATCTGTTCATTCTAGTTTTCAGCCTGCAGAGAGGCTCCCTGTCAAGTATTTGAATGTCATTCTAAAGAAGGTAATGTGTGCCATTTTCTCCCCAGTGTCAACCATCATACCAGAGATTCTGCTTCCTCTTGATCTTCCTCAACTTTAACATTATTATATTAGTTTCTTCCTGATATTCTTTTCCATAAAAAGTACAATTGCTTCAACCTCTTTTTAGAAATGAAGAGTATGATCATAGAAAACATTTCTGAAAATAGTTGGAATTTTTTTTTTTTTTTTTTTTTTTTTTTTAAATATTATGAACATTTTAGAAATCAAGTACAATTTATCTACTTACATATCTGTCAATGAACTTTGTCAGATACGTATTCCAGATGTCATATACATTGGGCCACTTGAAGAGAGCAATTCCTTTTTCATAGGCCTGAAAAAAAGGGGGGAAATCTTATTACAAACAGAATTAACAGCAGGAAAGAGGGTTTCATTTTATTGGGATTCTAATAAATGTAGTATTTTAAAATGGACAAACAATTTAAATTTGATCATATTGCCATCAGCGAAGTGACATGTACCAAACTAGGATCATAAATGCCGGTTCAAATAAATGACTTTTGTATTTAAACTGAATATATTTTCTAATAAATGTACTATTTTAAAATGGACAAGCAATTTAGATTTGAAATTTTAACATCTTGCCATCAGCAAAGTGACATGTACCAAACTAGGATCATAAATGCCGGTTCAAATAAATGACTTTTGTATTTAAACTGAATATATTTTCTAATAAATGTAGTATTTTAAAATGGACAAACAATTTAAATTTGAAATTTCATCATCTTGCCATCAGCAAAGTGACATGTACCAAACTAGGATCATAAATGCCAGTTCAAATAAATGACTTCTATATTTAAACTTAATATAAAGCACAAGTAAATATACAAATTGAACCAATTCATTATACCATTCTTCACTGTATCTCAATGATGTAAACAAGCTCATTTTATAAACAATATTCCTCTCTCCAATCCTTCTTCCAAGCAAAGAAATCCTGGCAATCTTTAACATTCTTGACTCCAAAAAAATGGTGTGTTTTTCAGGCACTCATTTATTTTAAACGGACAAGCAATTTAGATTTGAAATTTGATCATCTTGCCGTCAGCAAAGTGACATGTACCAAACTAGGATCATAAATGCCGGTTCAAATAAATGACTTTTCTATTTAAACTGAATATATTTTCTAATTAATGTACTATTTTAAAATGGATAAAATTTAAATTTGAAATTTGATCATCTTGCCATCAGTGAAGTGACATGTATTAAACTAGGATCATAAATGCCAGTTCAAATAAATGACTTTTGTATTTAAACTGAAAATATTTTCTAATAAATGTAGTATTTTAAAAGGACAAACAATTTAGATTTAAAATTTGATCATCTTGCTGTCAGTAAAGCAACAGGTACTGAACTAGTTTATGGAGAATTATACTGAATTATCATAGTAATGATAGGGATATTAATCCCAACCTGAAAGGGCAGTCGACACAAGAGAAGGAAAAATAATTTCAAATCCTCACTGCCTTGGTGTCATGCATAATCACAGGAAAAGTTTTGGAAGTAAACCATGTGGATTAAATTTAGATCTAGAGTCCTAAAGACTGACGTTGTATCCAATCTAGTTTTTATGATTAATGCTTTTCTTTTGTTTTAGAGTACTGATGGACACAATCTTAGTGGTGGGGGTGGGGGTGGGTTGGATTCCCTTTTTTCATACATATTGCACACCCAAGAGACATTTTATCTCAAACAATAAAGAAACATTACTATTTAAGTGATACACTTATATCTGAAATTGATATGTGATAACAGTTCATACTCTAATTGGGTAGATGAAACTCATTAGCCTGAGAGGGTAGTCAATCTAAGAAAAAGAAAAGCTTTGATTTCAAATTTTTGTTGTCTTGTGGCTACACCCAATCATTGCGAAAATCCTTAGGAATCAGCCCTGAGAATAAAATCTGGAGCCAGAGACCCAGAAGCAAATTTTACCCAATCTCTTTTGGGCAACTCCTGTAATGATGTTAATGCCAAGTAATATCAGCCATTGCCCTCCCTTTGGACAACATTAGTAACATCGAGGGAACAGAAGTGCTGTATGTACAATTCTCAATCTCCAATAAAATTACACACAGGCCTATACTGTGGAGAAGACACTCCAGCATCAACACTCCAAAATGACAAAGCATCTACTGTTGTATATCCTTGCTTATCAATCCACATTTGATTGTTAAAAAGCTACTAAACTAACATCATCAGCTGAATCAAAAAGAAATCTCCAGGAGCAGATCCAGTTTCTTTCAAGACTGACAGATACCACTATTATTATTTTTTCTTTTACAACCTTTTTCCTATCATCAGGTTTACAATCCTCCTCAGTCTGAACAGGAGTAGAGTTTTTTCCCCCCTAGTTTCCAGCTCTATCTAGAGTTTTCTCATTCTTGTTCACTTCCAGTACTGGCATTATTGCTTGCTTGGAGTGAACTGATAAAAAAAAAAAAAAAAATACTATATTGTTGGTAAAATACAGAGTCATAACAGCAGCAATCTTTTTCTTTTGTTTGGATCTGTCAAAGATGAGGATATTAGTCTCAATAAATTCTTTAAATTTTATGATATATTGACAATACAGAATCATATGTCAATTTTTATAAAACCAGCTGAACAGTCTGAGGCATCAATATTAAGAAAACTGATTCCTGAATTTATGATGGTCATAAAAAAACTATTTCTTTTGTTTGTTTTGAATCACCTTCTTCCCCAGTTGATGTAAGTTTGTTTGTAAAAAGGTCAACCGTTGATCTAAGCAAGACAAAGGAATAAATATAAAATGTCATACCTTGATTTAGATGGGTTATTTTACTGGCACACCAACCCCAACAGACATTTTGCACTGAATTTTGGTAGTTTTAAGTTTTGTTTTTATTTTGTTTATTTTGCAGACACATTCTTTATAAGGTGTTATTATTTAAGGGTGTAAATGCAATTCAGTTTTAGTTGCATTTTTGTAGCTGGGTATTTATTCAGTTTCCTTTTTATATTTTAGGGTCAAATTTTGTTACTTTTTAAGAAATTTAGAATGGCTTTGTGTTCGACACTCTCAAAAGGTCCTAAGGTTGGGTACATTGTACAAGTAATTTTGTACAGTTGCCAGACTTTTGCAGTTAATTGAAAAACGTTTGACAGTGAGTACTTCTTGGCAGTTTAGGCATTTTGGAGGGTCTTCATTTTTTAGGAGGAAGGGGTGGGTTTCTCTGATTTTGATTCTTTTAATTGTGACAGTTTTTCTTGACAATCTGGTACTGTGATGTTGTATAGTCATAATGGGTTTTATTTGATATAGTTTTTTGTTTGTGTGTGTATTCCATGATTTTTGGCATTGGTTGAGGACATAAGAGTTAATTGTGGCTTTCAAATCTGTAAAAGGGATTTTTGAATTTGATATGTTCATTAAGAGGGATTCCATGGCTGCCTTATCAGCCCTGTTATTCCCAGGGATCCCAATATGGCTAGGGATCCAGCACAATATCATGTGTTTTTGATTGTATATTTGTAGAATAACAATACAATAAACAGCACTTACCAGCTTAAGGGTCCCAGCTAGCATCCAGCTGGCAGACAAAAATAAAGCAGGTTGTAACTCAATACAAACCCTGCAAACTAACTGATGAATCAAGTTGGTATTTATACAGAAATACCTCCACTCATGTACCAGCAGCCAATCACAGCCCAAGCAATAGACTATCCCACTTTAGCACAATGAGATGCTCCATGGCACCATAAATAGCTCTCTTTCTCAAGGTGGAGTTATTATTGACTCAGCTTGCTCCATAACTGAGTGTTTATCTTGACTACGTGATTGCTGTACAATATTGAGTTAAATCTATTCAGGAATTTGGTGATTAGTGGGTTGTTCATGTCAGTACAGATAGCGAGTCTGAGGGAATAATGAAATGGGTCATACCTTGAAGGCCTCTTCATAATAATTGTTTTCTTCAAGGAACATTCCATAATTGATGATTATTTGCGGAGTGGCAATTCTTAGATCAATGATTCGGTCATAAACGGCTTTACAACTCTACAAAGCAGAAAGAAAAAAGAATAAATAAAAGCTTCTGTTGAGATATATAAAAAAAAAATAATGAGAAAGAACAGTAAGATTTATAATCTGGTGTTCTTATTATTTTTATTTTTAAAAAACAGTGCTCAATACAATTCAGTAGAGCCTAAACATCATAAATTTACTAATTTAAAAATATGGTTCCATCGCTACACAGGAATTACCATGTTTCAAAAACAGAAACTAAACCTTAAATTTAATTATAAAATTAAATTTAAAATCTTTATCTCTGATTCATTTTCAAGATGAATAATAAATAATGAGTAAAAAAGTTCACAAATAACTGCATTTAAATCCAAAAAAATAAGTCATTATCAGAGTGGTTCTATGGTCATGTAACCACTATGAAGATGGCTTATTTGAGCTGAAAGCTTAGATCAAGGAACAGCATAATAAAAAAATATCCAAATGTTGGACAAGTTTTTGTCTTTATTTTCTCCCAAAATTAAAACAACCATACAAAGTTTAGAATGGCTCATGATCAAACATAATAGACATTCATTGTCTGTTATATTTAACAATATGTTTGAATATATATATGTCAAAGGTCAATATAAAGCCTTTATTGATATATTCACCGTCTTCATATATCCAGTTCATTTCTTCAGAGTCCAGTAGACTAGGAATCAGCAACCTTTTGCTAACACTTATGCCGACAGGGTTTTAAAATCATCCAGTGTGCCAACAGCATATATTTTTATACGTCAAGGTCAATATAACTGCTCTACAGTATATTTTATATAGTATATATACTTTAGTATATATTAAAATTGAAACAGCTAAATATATTCTTTGTGTTGTAATAGTTATTGGTTCAGATTTTGTGATGTCATTTGCAGCTGCATGCCATTGGAAATTCCTTGGCGTACCACGAGTGACATGCATGGTGTTGGTTGCAGTAAACTTCTAAGCATTAAACAACTGAGCCAAGGGAGAGAATTCAATGTGTCAAGGATAAAAAGAAACACTAAACAAATATTCATTCAAACAACAAGAGGATTAAGAAAGAAAATAAAAGAAAAAAAATAAAAGAAAAAAAAAAAAAAAAATAGAAAAAAAAAAAGAATAGAAAAAAAAAAGAATAGAAAAAAAAGAATGGAAAAGAAAAAATATGGATTTTTCGGCCCTTTGTAAAGGAAAGCAAGAAGAAAAAGTTAATAATAGTAAGATAACAAATTTACTATTTCAAGTGCAAAGTGAATGTCCAGTGCACTTTTAACAGACTAGTGTTGTTTTATATGTAAAAAGGAAAAGTTTGGACCTCTAAAAGAAAACAGATTTCTTGTTTATCTTTCAAATCAACCAATTTCAAAATATTCAAATACCTCTTAAATACTTAAACACTCTAACATATGAGACACAGACATATCTGGTCTTACCTTAAACGTTCCAAAGGACTCTTCAAGATCAGCGTAAAACGACCAGACTTTGAGAGATTTGTGCACACGGTCTTGAACAGTTTCAGCCTGAGAAATAAAAACAAAATATCTTACATTTTTTTATTCTTTGGTAATTGGAAAAATTAAACATTTCCACACAGTAAACATTTGGCATTTATTTATCAAACAATTAAAGTTAAGTGCCTGTTGAAATTTATCGGTTTCAATCTAAAGAAATGACTGCTAAAAACACCCACCTTCCAAAACTTATAAACAAATCCTAATGGGATTTCTTTGTAACCAATAAAAATGAACCACTTTTGGTCTCAGCCACCATACATTTGTTCTTACTTGTCTTGAAGTCATCACTTTTTCTAACTTTGTGAACTTTTTTGCCTTATTACTATTGCTTTGCAGAGTTTTGTCTTGCATATATAGTGTAGAATTATTATTTTTCCCTGTTCTTTTTATTTCTTTTATTATCTATTGTAAAATTATTGGTCTTGGCTTCAAGTCCTATTGACTTGCATGTATATTGTTTGCTTAGTATTATTTCGCCCTGTTCTTTTTCCTCCTTTTCTTATTGTTTATTGAAAACTTTGTCAATTCCATTTGATGAGCATTATTGCCAACTAGCTTAAAAGCTGCCGTACTGGGAGGCATTTAAGCTAGCTTCTGTGGAGGGCTCTTAAGTTAACCTTTATCACAATAGGTAGGGAGGAGTAGATACGATAGGCAACAATAAACTACAGAAGAACTCAAAACTGATTTCTGCATTTAAGTATTGCATTAATATTTAAGCTTATCTCTTAAAGGTTTGACAATACTTCTTCTAACACCACTTAATTTAAAGATAATTTGATGTACATATGAACTTACTTTCCAGACAAACAATTATTTTGAGTTCATGGGTGACTTGCTGGATTTCACAATTAATTTCGATTAATCCCCAATTTCTTTCCATGTTATAAAAATTGTTATTGTACAAAAAGACAAAAACAATCACAGTAATGAAAACTTGGGAATCCAAAATTTGAGGATTGCAGGTCCAGATCTGGCCTGGAATGTTTTTAATTTGCTCACGGAATCAGCCTGATTCCAAAATGGTATGATATGTTGGGCTATGGCCTCTAGGAGTAAAGTTGAAAAAGTGTGACACACTGATATTGTATATATTACACTTAACCATGGCAAATTATTCTACAATTTTTTTAAAAATTGTTAATAAAATCAGTTCTACTACTATTTTGAAACTGAAAATGCACAAATATTGTACAATTGAATTATCAATGGTTTAAATGATTATTGATAAATATTTTAAATATCAAAAATATTTTTTTGTTCTTTCCTATCATGAAGTCAGAACACAACAACCACTTGACTGTATCCCTTTTGTGTGTGAACACCATTCTTTGTGAACTCTTTGCCCTATTACTGTTGCTTTGTATAGTTTTGACTTCCATATATATTGTTTGCTTAGTATTATTTTACCCTCTCCTTTTTCTCTTTTCTCGTTTACTTTGTCAATTCCATTTCTTGTGCATTTTGCCGATTACACTTAACTCAACAAAATCTATCTTTAAGAGAGAAACAGCTTTCCAGGAAAATAAGCTCTTCAAGTTCATTAGATGTTAGTTTATGATGAAGGCAAGAGGCACAACAGCCGAAACAGTCTAATAATAACAACAAAGATGAGGATAATAATCCAATTTAAATAATAACTCTCAGAAATTCAGACAGATCTTATTGCTTTCTGCTAACTTTTTTTTTTTTTATAAAAATGTGTCCTAGCTTCATAAATGTCTTAAAATAGTTTACCATTATCATAACAAAGACACTGCCTTCTATAATCACCAGTACAAGAGAGATAACTGTGAACCAGCAAAAAATTATGGTTTACAGATGTAAAAAAACAAAAAAAAAAAAAAAACCCAACACGTGGTATATTGCAAGTTGACTCTCCTTTATCCGAAAACATTCAAAATCTGAAAGTTTTTTTAGGCGCCAACATCAAGATTTGTCACAAAAGGAAAATTTTAGAAAGTACTGGTAAGGTTCTGAGGTGATGTACAGCTGTTGTAAGTGACCTCATCTGTCCTGGTTGGATGTTCACTAGCCCAGCTACGTAGCCTACATTGGCACCTGTATTTTGTTAGCAACTGTCACAGCAATACCTTCGTTTGTGGATTACTTACTAAGTGTTTTGTGCTCCAGATATTATTCCAAATGTCAAAAAATCCTGCAGATACCCATGTGGTAGAAAGAAAAAAAAAAGAAAGAATTTATGTTTATCAATATTCTGTACACATACACAAAGTACAAAATATTTTTACGTGATATCTTAATTTCACCACTTAAAAATCCATGTGAGCATCATTACCTGTACGTACACAAAATTTATTAAGTTTTATATAAAAATACCTTCAGGGTATATGTATATGCTGTTTTATGAAATCTAAAGGGATATCATGTTTATGCTTGGGTTCCATTCTGAAGCTGCCCTATTTTACAGATGCTACAAATAGCCTGTATTCCAAAATTTGAAAATTGAATCACTTCCAGTTCCAAGAATTTCAGATAAAGGATTTTCAACCTGTATACATTAAGACTGAGATAATACTTCATGTTTTCACAAAAAAAGTGCATAGAATATAGTGTAGCTGTTTACCTCATCATGGTAGGAAATTTTACGTGGAGGAGGGGTTGTTACTCTTTGCATCAACTTCAAAGATTCTTCATAATTCCTAGAATTAAAAATGAAAATGGTTTATATTTATGTAAAAAAATAGAAAACAATATAAATTATATATCTAACAACCTTATTCTATCAGTAATTGCTCATGATTTTAATGTAGGAATGTATTAAAAAGCAGGGATTGTCAGTGGTCAGGAATGAATGCAAGGAGAGTATAAGGCCATTACATGTATAATGTAAATGCATTGCTAATAATTTTACTATGGGAATGCATTAAAAATCAAGAAGAAAGGGATTGTCAGTGGTCAGAAATGAATGCCAGAATTACTGATAGACTAACGCTATTATATGTATAATATAAATGCATTGCTAATGATTTTACTTTAGGAAAAATATATATATATATATATATATATATAGCCAGCATTTAGCCAGCTTTCCCTGATGATCCGCTTAGGTGAAACCTGGGTAGGTTTGTCTGGGTCTGCTCTATGATTGTATTGAGCTCATTTTTAGTTAGTTGCTTACTCGTGTTGGGGTTTTTTCTTTGGGCTTCAAACCTGTATCTGTGCGATTTTTTTCGACAGACTTTCATGTTTCTAGCGCTTTCTTTTTTTAAAACCTTTTTTTCCTTCGAGATTGATTTGATTATTGGCAAATCAAAAATTCGAAGGTTTTTCGAAACGAGTATAGTTATCTATCTATATATATATATATATATATAAAAAATTTATTTGATTATAATTTTCCCTTTTCATATTATGTCTTAAATGAATTATAATCAACAGCTATTAACTAATTCAAAAGTAAATATTATTTTATACTTGTGATTTCCAAACTTATAAAAACAAACCAAAGTTAAACTGTATAATTTTAAGGAAACATTGAACTTAAAAAAAGGTTTGTTTAACAATCTTCTTAAAAGCAACATATTACTTACTCATGCCGAATTTCCATCTCGGCCCATTCACACCAGACTGAAGCAAGGTCCACAACATGCTTAAATGGTACTTTGATGGCCTTTTCAAAGATAATACGAGCCTGAAAGATAGAAACCAAACAATAAAAACAATGAATATAAACAGTTTGAATTAAGTAATTTCCCATGTATAATACACATTTTTTCCTAAAAAAATAATAATCAAAATTTGGGGTGTGTATTATGCACAGCTATAAAAAAAAAAAAAAAACTTTAAAAATTTCCGTTTCATAGGTTGATTTCAGTTGCGAAATGATTCATCACTATAAACATACAACAATTTGATACTAACATTCAGCGATTGCAACCCCATAAGGATCTCAAATACAATCCTATGTATCTAACAAATGTAAAAATAAGAATTATCATAAAACTAAATTAGAATATTATTTTATGTTTAAAACCATTTTTTTTAATAAGAGTAGGAAATGCTGGTCATAATGAAATTGAAAGGGTACAATTTATAGGTTTTGATTACCAAACAAGGAGTGTGTATTTTGCATGAGTTGAAGCATTTTCCCCACACTTTCAGCACAGTTTTAGGGGTGCGTATTATAGATGAAGGCATATTATACATGGGGAAATATGGTAATAAAAATATGATACATGTTATTCTACTTTCACAATTGAGTACATGGTAGATGATACTCAACTTTTAGGCATATACATATTTGTGTGGGCATAATTACTAGATATGTGGGTTTTATGTTGTAGTTTTGTTGAAGTTATATTTTGGAATACAGTTTGATTTCTATTGTTTTCCCTAACTGGGAAGTTTGTGAATAAACTTTCAATGTCAAGTGAGGCTATGCTTTCATTAATAGGTTTTTGTGTTTTTAGAATTTGGAGTATTTTGTATGTTGATTTAATGCTGTATTTATTGGGTATATATGGTGTAATTAGTCCTCAAATAATTCTAAACATATCAGACTACTATACTATAATCAAATGCATTCTAACTATAAGCAGGAAGAAAAATTCTAAGAAGACTAATAAACACTAATATATCCCCCACTGACCCAAGTAAAAAAAATAAAATTATATACTATACTAAATTTAATACAACCAACCTAGTCATCCATAACAACTTTTCCATGTCAACTAACATCTTACAAAAGACCAACATCATATATCAATTTTATTGTCCTTTGGGAGATTGCATCTCTGATAATGTTTATACACATGTTTTTACAACAATGATGAGAAGGCTTATGTTTCCCACGAATGATCAGAGTTCAATCTCAGAACATTTAAAGGAACACAAATAGACAAATATTAGTCAAAAATACATCAGTGCACCATCAAGATAATAATAAGCAAAAACCTAAAATTTTGGAAGCCCTTTATATAAGAGAATTGTGGCCAAAAATAAAGTCAACTATAGCAACAAAGTTCTTAAATGTTTTTAGCAGCAAAATGTTATATAAAAAAATATTAAATTAAAATATATTTAAAAAATGTTTAAAAAAAAAATCACATAAGTTACCTCCCTTGCATAGAGGTAAACAAATATTTTGAATTTACAGTGTTAAAGCATAACACATCCATAGATATTCAACCCTTTAAGATGGTCTCAGATGAGATTGAAAATACTTGGGAAAATAAAAATTATTTGAAAAAAAAATTAGAGAATTTTTCTTAATCAATTTTTTACAGTTATCAAGAAATTAAATTGTGGACATGAAAGGATTAAAACTAAAATAGGATATAATATGTCTAAATTATTTAACCAAACATGCTTATATATATATATATATATATATATATATATATATATATATATATATATAGACATGAAAAGAAAGGTTAACCTGAGTGATTATCTCAAAAGCCATGAATGAGACAGAGTGGATAAATTGAGATGAAGAACCACAACGAAAAATAAAAAAAATGAAATATTTACATTGTCTGGATTGTTGCCCACATCTTTATTAGTAACTCAACCCAAAGAATTGTGAGTTCAATACCTGGCCACAGCAGAGGTGAACAAAAAAACTTGTAGAGTTGTGTTACTAAAGGGAAATAACAAAACTGAGATATCCAGAAAAGGTATGGCATGTGGAACTAGAACAATCAACCATGTGGACTAAATAAGGGGTTCAGTTTGAACAGTGTAAATAGTTACAATATCTCATCTCAGAAATATAGACAAAATAAAGAGTTTGGCTCAAAATTCCAACGTATATCACCTGAAGAAGCCTGGAGTGTACATTGGCCGAACTGTCATGAATATGACAAAGATGAGGACAACACTCTGAACAATGTAAATAGTTACAATACCTCAGAAATATAGACAAAAAAAATAAAAAATAAAATTTTAAAATTAACAATGGAAATAAAAAAATTCAAAATTAATGAGGGAAATAAATTATGAAATAAAGAAATAATAATAAATAAATAAAATAAATTAAATAAATAAAATGGTCATGAAGACAATGACCCAAACTTACATCTTCAACTTGTTTGGCATTTTCATAGAATTTGGCAAATTCAACCCAAAGTGTATAAAATTTTCCTGTTGCTAATTTGGGATCAACTGTCTGAACAGCTTCAGTGTATGTAGTGATCACCTGAAAATAAAAATTAATTTTAAACTTTAGCAATCTGCATTATTAATATTACTTTCTATTGCATTCTTTTTCAAGGCCTCTTAATTGCAATACCCTTATAAATTTCACTCAAAGATGTTTTCTGTTGTCATAGCAGGATGTAACAACACAAAAGGATTTTTAAACATATTATTATTCAGGGATCAGATAAACCTTTTGTGAAACAAATGAAGTTACATACAGAGTGATAAAGATTAAAATAATAAAAAAAAAATAAGGAGTTCAAACAATTGGTGAATAGATGTAAGGCAAAGTAGGACTTGTAGATTTTGGTAATTTTGAAGTGTCATCATAATTTTGACACTGAAGGTTGATGTTTACAGAGTGAATATCATTAAGAAAAAAAAAGAAAAAAGCATCCAATAATGTGGATTGGTCCCCGCCACCTGTTCTATTTCCATGCTATATGTCTAACATCTCCAACTGAACACTGAAATGTTATTCACTAATTAAATTCTGACCACTTCAAGTCTGGAGATAGCCATTATCTTTCCTTCATACCCCAAGAACTTCACTTATCCCTCTTTCTTACACTAATACAATGCCACACACTACCACTCTACCTTGAGTAGCTCTCGGGCCTTGTTTTGGATGAACAATAGTATTAAAAAAAAAGAAAAAAAAAGGTAAGTAGTACTTTAACCTTTTTGCCAAGTGACTGCTTTCAATGTAACTGGTTGGGCAGATGGCTCCCCTCTCTCTAACCATGACTTTGGCATTATTGGGGGGAGGGGAGAGGAGGTAGGTGATACTTTGGATATATTCACTGCTTCTTCAGTCGTCTTCTCTCATGACAGAAATAACTAAACTGGAAGTTCCCTTTGACCAGTTAGAATTCCAATTGCCCCTCTGCCCATCTCTGACTACAAGTGTCACTCACTGCCTCTCTATGGACAGTTTGTCACTGTTCATCAATGATTGACTTCTACATCTCAACAGACAGCTTGTAATTGGCTTTACCTAGAAAGAAACACATAACCGGAATTCTCTACATTCCAGTCAAGTGACACTTGATCCTGAAAATTTTCCTTTATTTATTTCATTTCCATTTACTCCTGGGGAGTTGGTGGTTGCTTTGAAGTCCTCACATCTAGACATTTACTTGACTTTATGGGTGTCCTAAGGCAATTGAGTGGGTATTTACTGTGCCACAAAGTATCTTGTGATCTACAATATTGTGATTAATTTACAACTAAAGTTAGCACTGACCAAAGTTTGTCTTTCTTCTTTTCATAATAAATTTATTAAAAATAACACGATTCTAAGAAAGATTGTACTTACTTCTCGTGGTTTTCCTTCAAACAGTTTAACTCTTTTGTGCCATTCATGAACATTGTGTGGATTTTGTCGAAGCAAAACACTGCAAGTAGAAAAATACAAAATCAGGTGATTTGCCAAAAATAAATAGAGCAAAATAAAGTCTCTTTTTATTATTGTAGTTTTGCTTCTTGTATATGACATTTGATTATTGCACATGGTGCTTTGATTCTAGGATAAACTGGTTTGATTCTTGCATATAGAGTTTTGAATCCAGTATATAGTGTTTTGATTTTTGTATATGGAGTTTAGATTCTTCTATATATGGAGTTTTGATTCTTGTAGAAGGGGTTTTGATTTTTTGATATATGAAGTTGCGATTCTTGTATAAGGGGTTTTGATTCTTCAATATATGAAGTTGCGATTCTTGTATAAGGGGTTTTGATTCTTCAATATATGAAGTTGCGATTCTTGTATAAGGGGTTTTTGATTCTTTGATATATGAAGTTGCGATTCTTGTATAAGGGGTTTCGCTTCTTCTATATATGAAGTTTTGATTCTTGTACAAGGGGTTTTGATTCTTGTATAAGGATTTATGTGAGTAGCTCACCTCAAGACCAGAAACACTTTAAGAATAAATTAACTCTTTACCTTCTACCAAGTAACAAAGTTTTATAATATACAGGGTGTCCCAAAAAATGTACTCTGTTTTTGACTTCATGCATTGTTGCATTTGATTTCATTTAATAGTTAAACTGTTAATCCTCTTTGTAAGCCAGTAAACATTAATATTTCTTAATTTTAACCATTAATCTAGCAAGTAAATAAATACTGCATTTATTGTCATTTAAAGAGTGAGTACATTTTTTGGGGACACCATGTATTCTAACACCAAGATATTTATTCTATTGATGTCATCTATCTTAATGTTTGTGTTATATTTCGTGCTAATAGGAATATATACTTGAAAATAAGTAAAGGTTTATTGTAAAAAACAAAAAAAAAAAACAAAAAAAAACAGTACAATGAGAATAAATGTAAGTTATGCACAAGGTCGTCGCAAGTCAATCCAGTAGTGAGTGCTACTATTGGAAGGTCGGTAGTTCTTGCATAAGTAAACAGATCCCAGCTAGTCTCTGTAGTCCGTTGAGTTACAGATACTTATAGGTAGTTACTACCTATAGTGTAGTCACTCATGGGGGTGGGAGGTTATTCCATTACATCAGTTTGTTTAATCAGGTGTATGTCATATATGACATCATGGTGAAAGAATTTAATAAAAAGTAATTGATTATAAAGAGTGTAAAAGCAGGAAAGGAATTGAAGAATCAAATAGATGGAGACTTAAGGCTGGGCATATAGTTATATTTTGCTGAGAGAAAATAAGCCTGAAAGAAGATCATCTGCTATTGCTTATGTAACCGAAGTTAATAGAATAAATATCTATATTATCCCATGTGCTATGGCATTAGGGGTATACAATAATAAATACCAAGAAAAAGATTTTTCTTCAGCTTCAATATATCTTCAATTTTCTAGAGTAATTTTTACTTAATCAGGTGAATGTCATATATGAGATCATGTTGAAAGAGTTCAATAAAGTGATTAGAGTCAAAGCAGTAGAGGAACTGAAGTGTCAAATAGCTGAAGACTTAAGGCTAGATATATAGTTGTAATTCATTAAGAGAAAATGCCTGACTGATAAATATCTAAATTATATCATGTGTCAAGGAAAAGATGTTTATTTCATTTGCTTTCAATATTCCATCTAAAGTTTAATGTAATGTTTGGGAAATCAGGTGGATGTCATATATGACATCATAGTGAAAGGGTTCACTAAAAAGAAAATAATCAAGATATAAAAATTAAAGCAGGAGAGGAACTGAAGAGTCAAATAGCTGGAGACTTAAGGCTAGATATATAGTTGTGTTTAGTTGGAAGAAAAGGCAAGCAAGAGAACCACCTGCTATACTGGCTTTTGCTTATGTAATGACAAACGATAAAATAAATATCTAAATTAGATTCTTACATGTGCTACTGTGCTTGAGTATTAATCTTTAAATTTTTCTTCTCCAGTGCCCCTTTTCAGATATTTGTTTGTGCTGGATTCCTGTATATTGAAAAACTGCATTGGTAAAGGGAGCAGAGTTGTAACAACACCATTAATGTCCTGTGTTTATGTTTTGTAATAGCAGCACCAATAACTGAAAGTAAGGTGTAGCAGAAACAGCCAAGTGGCTGCACTGCATCACACTATAGAAATTGCTGGCTTACAGGTTTTTGATCAATGCTTAAAATACATTGAAAAAATGTGGGTATATAGGTAAAAATATAAACAAGTACATTTTTTTTTATTTAAAAATGATTATACACTGTGAGCAAAATTTCTTAATGGTATTCTTGAAAAAAGAAATAGCTCACATATCAAATTTTCCCCTGTGCTTTTAAATTATTTTAGTAAGGTTAGTATTTTGACAAACATCTAATGGTTTTGGCCAATAAGATTATTTGTGAAGAGTTTGTCAGAAACTTTATACCCATGATGAACATTACATTGGTTTGGTTTAGTTTACGGCATATCAACCTCAATGGGTTATTTAATGCCAACAAGATTTTTATTGCTGGTAATATTTTTTTTCTTCAAAAATGTATTGTTAGTAATAATTTTTTCTTCAAAAATTCATTGTTGGTAATAAAACCTATTTTTACATTTTCATAGTGTTTTGACTCCAGTTTGGGGGTTAACTATTTGCCCATAGCTGGGACCCTAACAGGGTCAGTGTGGGCCTGGGGACACCAGCAATTAAGAGGTGGTTCCACGCTCCTCAAAACCTCTCAATCAGAGCCCTTGCTGTTGGATATAGTTTATTGTCATACCCAGGACAACAGACATTAGAGATAATTACCTGTTGAGCAAAAGAGGTCGCCTATCCATCAGGTGTTCCAGTCGAGCCAGCCGTAATTCAACATCAAGGTCATCTAAAAACACAAAAAATTTGTTAATATTCTTTTTTCAGAATGGAATTTTAATATTTTATTTACATTTATCAAAACAGCCTTCAGAAAATTCCTTAACTAATTCATAAGGGATGAAAATAAAATACATGACAATATTAATTCATTTACAGATAAATGTTAAGCTGATATTGTTAAATAGCAAAATGTTTCATGTAGATGCTCACATAGCATAATGTAATTAGTGTGTTGCGTTCAAATTCTAGCTGAGGCTGTTGAATTCACTTTTGCACAAATACCCTTGGAAAGGTAAGAATCCATTCACTTGAACTTTGTTTGGCAACAAGTCTAGGAGAAGAAGAACTTTGAATCCAAAACCAGTTGAGCATAGGGTTGGCAATTTCATCCTGTAAAAACCTACTTGCTACAGAAACCACAGTAACACCTGTTGTAGGGAGGCTGTCGCGCTATTCTAAGACTATCACCCTCTGCATACAAATGCCGCCCCGTTACCCTATGCAGACAATGCTGCCCCGTCAGTCTTTGTGGACAAATGCCACTGTTATTGCCAACCTCTGCGGACAAATGACGCCATTGGCAACATCTGTGGACAAATGATGCTGTCGGCAACCTCTGCAGACAAATACCTTCCCTGTCACCATCTGCAGACAAATGCCACCATCATCAACCTTTGCTGACAATTGTTGCTTATGTCACTTGACATCTCTAACAATGCATCAAATACGTGATGACTATGAAAATATCAGAATTATTGAATATCCTTATTAAAAATTAATATTAATGAAAATCAAAGGAACAAAATACATTACTATCAAAGATTTACATCATAAATCTGTTCAAGTTAAAAGTTGGCAGAATTATTCATTGCAGAATATAAAGGAATTGGTAATACCTTCTTCAGAAGCACCAGCTTCAGTCATTGTTTCCATTTTGGCACTGACTAAATTTTTCTCAAACTGGGCATAGGCATCAAACACCTGTGTGAAATCTCTGACAGTGATTACAGTCTGGATAGCTTCCTCGTAAATGTCACGAGCCTGGATGTTGTTTAAAAATGAATAAATTAAAAGAGAAAACATATTGGTGGAAACAATGAAAACCATTGTAGTTTGTAAAAGAAATTTAATTATAATCAATCAGGTGTTTAGAAAAGAAATTGAAAAGAAGATAAGGAGAGAGAACAAGAGGTAAAAAGGAGAGAGAGAACAAAGATAAAAAGGAGAGAGAGAACAAAGATAAAAAGGAGAGAGAGAACAAAGATAAAAAGGAGAGAGAGAACAAAGATAAAAAGGAGAGAGAGAACAAAGATAAAAAGGAGAGAGAGAACAAGAACAAAGATAAAAAGGAGAGAGAGAACAAGAACAAAGATAAAAAGGAGAGAGAGAACAAGAACAAAGATAAAAAGGAGAGAACAAAGATAAAAAGAGAGAGAACAAGAACAAAGATAAAAAAGGAAGAGAGAGATAATAAGAGAACAAGAACAAAGATAATAAGGAGAGAGAGAACAAGAACAAAGATAAAAAGGAGAGAGAAAAGATAAAGAGTAAGAATGAGAAAAATGTCAAAATTTACACTAAAAATTGTGACCAACATTTGAATAAACAGAAATACATTCAGAGAAAATAAATAAATAATTATGGATTATTTTCACAGTAAATAAATAATAGTTTAATAAAAATAAAATAAAAAATAAATCAACAACAATAGTTAAATTCTGTCAAGTAGGTAATTATGCTCAAATCTTTGAGAGATTTTTTAAAATTCTAGAAATTATTTCCTTTAAAATGAGTGATGATAGAACTCTTTTCCATTCGGTATTTTCTAAGAGAATTGTTAATAATAATAATAATTTTAAAATGATTTTCTTAGGAATGTAAAATGATTAACAGGGGAAATTATTAACTTATCAGAGAAATAATTGATAATTAACAAAATCTTTAAAACATTGGGTAATTATTTGGACTTGGCATGGTTGAATGTCAGAAAAATAATTCAGATTTTGCTAATTATATTCTCAGTTAAAATGAGTGATAACAGAAAAAAAAAATCTTATTGACTTTGAAAAATCATCAACTACAAATGAAGAAAATTATTGCTACAAATTGGCTAATTACTATCTTGAGTAATTGGTAGTTAAAACTGAAGCCATTTTGGTAATTGTTTCCTGATGAAAAATTAATAAAGTTATTTCTTTTGAATGAGAGGCTGATAATAACAAAAAATATTAAATACTTATGTAAATTATTACTTTATTGGGAAAACAAGTGATAAAATATTAAAAATAGGATAATTACTTTCTTGATAATTATGATTAGGTATTTAAGAGAAAAAACTTATAAAATTTTGGTAAATTCTTTGGTAAAATTGACAGAAGGTATTTAATATTTAAAATTTAATAATAAATTAATGAAATAAATCTAAAATTTAATAATTAATAAGATAAATCTAAAATTTAATAATTAATAAGATAAATCTAAAATTTAATAATTAATAAGATAAATCTCAAATTTAATAATTAATAAGATAAATTTAAAATTTACTGAAATAATTAATAAATATGAGGTCAGCTAGGTTGTGCATCTCAACACATCAGATGCCATGAATTTAAACTTAAGCATTTCCCTTAGTGTATAATTAAAACTGACATTTTTTTGTCATTTTGTTCTCTCTGCCTACATATATGTTATCTCATGAATAAAAAGCAGTATTTAATCTGAAGAAATCCTTGTGTAGGAGGAAACATGTTGCATAGAATTTATCCATTTTGTGATTTATTTAATCACTTGATAAAGAAAATCAGTTTTCTTTTTTAAATGTTGAAAATGGTGAAGTATTTACTCTTTCAAAATGTCCTCCTCGAATATAGTAATCAGCCATAGAATTCCATAGAACTCCAATTTGGTCAGTGTACAGTTTGAGACCTTGTCGGATAATAGGTTCAATCTTCAAAGAAGTCACCTTGTCTGGATGTTTGGCAATCAGGTCACAAAGTTCATTCCATAACTAAAAATGAGAATAAAAATATTAATTGAGGATCATGAAGTGATGTAATGGTTCACAAGCCATTCACTTAGACTGTTTTATTGTTTTTTATCATTTCACCCCAAGCAAGGCAATAACACCACTAAGAAGCAGGGTATTAATGAGTGTAAAAGAATATAAGAAAAGGAAAAACATTACTAAGGAGTGAGAAAATTAAAAGATCAGGAATTAAGAAGACAGCAGATGACAATAGATATTGCATTTAAATTTTTGAAGATCAAAGTTGACAAAGCAAGAAGCTGAAAGTGAATATTGTTAAAAATGATTTTTGTTTGTCTTTATGAAGGGGAGGGTGAAGATTTTTCATTGTTGTTATTGACTAATATTCTGTTTACTGCTGAAAAAATATTTTAAAAATATTTATTGAGGGAACTTTAAGAATCATAGAAAGAGTAAAAGAAAGGACATGCAAAAAGAAGGACATGGAAACGTCAGCAATTAAGAGGTGATTCGACACTCCTCAAAACCTTCAATCTCCCAATCGTGTCTTGATGCCAGATTGAAAGAACAGAAGATAACAATTGACATTGCATTTAAATTTTTGAAGATCAAACTTGACTAGAAAGCAAGAAGCTAGAAGAGAGTTCCAGAAGCAAGAAGTACCAGAGTAGAAATCAATGTCTATGGGTTATTTAATGCCAAAATCTAAATATTTTGAACACAACTACAGATAAAATACATTGTTGGTCAGTTTGTTTAGCAGCATATCAACATCTCCATGGGTTATTTAATGCTGAAATCTAAATATTTTGAACACAATTCCAAGCCTTCAACTAGAGATAAAATGTATTGTTTGCTGGTCATTTTGCTAGTCAATTTACTATAAATATATTTTTATACTTTCATAGTGTTTTGTTTTTGTTTGGAGTGGGTCACTGTTTGCCTATAGCTGGGACCCTAACAGGTGCTACTAACCCAGAGTCTGAAGCAGCAACAATTAAGAGGTGATTCCACACTCCTTAAAACCTCCAATCTCTCAATCAATTTTGCAGCAGCATATCAACCCCTTTGGGTCATTTAATGCTGAAATCTAAATATTTGGTACACACTTTTAACTATGGATATTTTGTACATAATTTTATACTTTTAGGGTAAACGTATATTTTATAGATATATAGTTTGTAGATGATCTATTGTAGGTGTTATATATTTTAGTATAAACCTATTTCTTTAAGGAAGGACATTATGTTGACAGTTTCAGTATTTTCATATAGTTTTCTTATATTTTCCTTGTAGTATTTGTGTGTTACATGTGATAAGAATGTTTGCTTTCTAACCAGGAGTTCTGAGTTCGACTCTCCATAGTCTCTGGACAGTGACTAAATGTTATCTAAAATGTGTTTCACTGTGAGTGCAGCTTAACATGTTGTACATGTTAGTTGATTTTCATTCTTCCGCAAATACATTTTTTTATTGAAAATTATTTATAACATATGATATCCCGTCTGAGAGGTTACCAACTTAAAATAAAGTACAATAAACTCATAATTAAGATAAAAAAATTAATCTGCAAAGTTTCAGGTTTTAAGCATGTATAATTATTAAGTTATTAGAAATAAAGTATCACACCTTAAAATTGAGTCGGGCAATTTCCTGTTTGATTTTGATGAAATTCTTACAAATTCATTCAGTTTGGTAAAGGTAATTATTTTTTTAGTGCGTTCTTCCTTTGAAAATTTTAAAAGATTTGCATGCTTTTTGTGTCTGCTATGACGCCCGTGGTTAATACGTGATAATCCGAGTAGCAGCTGGATGTAACAGTTCGAGTCAAAGTTAGTAAGAAATCTTCTTGTGGCTTTCCTGGAAAAATAATTTTTGCATGATACAGGGTTCCCACAGAACTGTGTAAAAAAAAATTCCAGGATTTTTCAAAGACTTTTCCAAGAGTATATTGAGAAGTTTTAAAGATTCAAACTGGTGTGCACACACACACAGAAAGTGAGCAGTCATCAATTTAAAAAAAAAAAAAAAACAAACTTTGTGATTAATCTTTTAATTGTTTGACAGATGAGATTTTAAAAAAAAAAAAAATGTACAGTTGGTTCCAATAATTCATGTCACATGGATCAGTTGAAAGCAGTGAAGAAATCCAAGTGTTGATAGGTTAAAACCTAACTGAAAGCAGACCTGGTTATGTTACACATTTTGTGTAGTATTATAGAGTTTGGAGTTGTACTACACTTGAACATTTTTAATTACACACTTTAATTCATAAAGCTACACATTTCAGCTATCTAGACTACTCCTGGTTTGTGAATGTCACAAAAATTCTTGACTGCTGCACTTTTCCTGTGAACTTAAGTATAATGGCTTTAATGAACAGAAATTTTCCCAAAAAGACTATACATTTTAGCTATCCCTACTACTCATAGATTTTGTTGCACATGGCACAGAACATAATGATGTTACCATTTTTTCAGTTCATCTACTTTAGCATTCTGCTCCTTTTCCAATTTTGATATCTCTTTGGATTTGTTCTTTGCAGATCTTCACATGGCATTGGGCTTTGCAATAAGTGTGAAGTTCTGAGTTTGCTCAGCTTTCTTTGCATAGCTTTTAGCTGCCTTGAGCAAATCTTGTGTGCAACTTTCAAGCTTGTGTTTTTTGGTCTTCAGTTCTTTAATTTCCACAAGCATGGATTTCCATTTTTGTTCAGCTGCTTCTGCCATTTTTCCCCCTCTGAGCCTCAAGGTATTTGTTCTATATTATTCTGTCATTGGAAGCACTGCAGAGAAGCGCCTTAGTCATAGGAACATTCCCAGCATCTCCAACAATAACCAAATAGTCTGTGATAATGTACTGTGCAACCAGGGTCTGCCGTTTCATATTATCAGTAGAAATTTTCTTTATTGACTGAGAAACCTCTCTCTACTGAGTCTTATCTATGAGAGAGTACAAGCAATTTGCAAATAACACTCCAGTTTTTGATATTCTTTGTTGCTAGAAAAAGAAAAGTAGAACAAAGTGTCCAGATAGCTTTGATTAAAAATTGACCTTAAATTTATTTATTTCTCCACTTCTATCTTCCTTCCTTCCTTTCATTCATTCATTCATTTTCTCACTGAAATCAAGTAATGTCTTTCCCCCTCTTTTCACGCCATCAAAATGAAATAGTCCATTATTTATCAGGTATTGGTATGGTGTAATAGTAGTATGAACTAAAAAACTAATAAGGGAGGGACAAGCATAATTATTATATAAATGCTTCAAAATATGAATATGGCCTTACTTGATGTTTAGATTTTCCTTTTTTGGATACAAATTGCTCATCATTGATGATGGTAGCCAATCGAATAGCAGCGTCATTCAGCCAACCAATTGATATAAGGTAGTCTATATAATCCTCTGTGTCTTCTTTGCGGAGCTGTGAAGAGGAAACAGTAAACAAAATTATTTCTCAATAGAAGTAAAAAAAAAAAAAAAAAAAAGAGAGAGAATTTAGATATGAAAAAATAATTATAAAGATAAGGCAAAAAATTGCAATTTTAATTACAAAAAACATTAAAATATCTCAGTATAATTATAATTTTTGTTTTTTTGATTTAAAGAAAACTTAGTTACTTTTGAAAGAACTATATTAAAGTATTACTTCCAAAATATGAGTTGACTCTGATACTTCAATTTTTCTAGAGTTTTATAAAAGATGCTGGTGCTGCTTTAGCGTGTGTCCCACCACATTTGTATCCTACATTATCTAACATAAGGGGAAAAGCAAAAATGGAAGGAGGATGCCATTTATTGTTGTACTAGCAGCATGGCCCGGTGTTGCCTGTACTTGATTAAAAAATCGTACGACTCATACAGTAATTGCTATCACTTGACTTAAAATATTTTTGCCCTTCCTTGCCTTTAAAGGAGTGCCCTTTGCTGATGTTGCTACATGCCTTACTTCTTGCCTATCTCACACTGTGAATTTTTTCTAAGCTCTATACTAAACATTAAATCTGTTACAAAAAAAAGAACTAAACAAAATAAACACAAAACGATCAGCTTTAAAAAAGGACTCGTAACTGGAAAAACCGAATGAAAAAAGAATGTTAACAACAAATACTTTTTCACACCCAACCTAGTTCTGTGGAATCAGAATCAACGTTGAGTTTAAGCAAGCGAATGAGCCAATTGGAGTAAAGTGTCATGCAGATTTAAATTTTTCCCACTTGTGACGAATGCAGCTATCGATTTTTTTTGCATGCTAGTTAACATTCGTGTCAGTCAGCTGTTGGCTCTCACGCTGGCCAACAGAATCTTCCTGCCTATTCGTGGCAGCCAGCTATAGGCTCCACTCTGGCCAGTACAAAATGGCTGCAAACTAAATGAAAAATGCTGTAGAAGCATGAAAAAATCGATTATTTCCACTATGGATGGAAGTTGGGAAATGCATAGTCGGTCTTGGCCTTCCCGCTAACTTGGAGCATGTGCATGTAAATTTTGGTGCAAATCCGTCAAAAATTGCAGTCGTGCATTTGTTACACACACACACACACACACACACATCCTGCCTTTTTCTGGACTCCAGAAAAAAACTAAACAACAAAAAAAAAAAAAAAAAACAAAATCACAGACAGACAATATTTTGTCAAAAAACAAAATAACTAGGAACTTATGATTTACCTTCAAGTACCGTCGATAGACCCTCACTGCGGTTTCTGGAAGTGGATACATGGTCACCAGTTTCAGATAAAGTGGCCAGATTCTGTGGTGTTGTGTGATGGGCAGAGCTCGCAAGGCACGGTCAAATGTGTTTCGTGTGGATGTTATCTTACACTGATCCATTAAAAGCTGGCAATAGTCAAGCCAAATTCGAGGCATCTGTTAAAAGACAGTGAACGGCAGTTGAGAAGATTGAAAGTATCTGCGCACATACTGTGGTGAAATAATTTGATCAGCAGACTAAACATAGACAAAAATAACATACATGAGGAATCAGATAGGAACAAATAATGAAGATAGGGTGACTAAAATATGAAAAATCAAAACAGGACTGTCAAGGGTCTGTCAATTTTACTGAAAAGTCAGGGGTCAGTATCTGTCTATATTTCTGAGATGAGGTATTATGTACATTGTTTTATCACAATGTTTCAGCTATTGTACGCTCCAGCCTTCTTCAGGTGGTTGGAATGTCGAACTGAACCCTTTATTTTGCTCGCTGGGGTAGACTGTTCCACCTGCCATGTCTAATGGATGTCAGTTATCAGTTATCTCCTATTAATTCCCCTCTCCAAGTTCTCCACTACCTTAGCCAGGTATTGAATTCACACTCTTTGGGTCCTGTCACTGGATCTAACTAACACCTTTATCCACTGTGTCATGTGTCCTCCTTTTACTATAAATATGCATTGTTGGTAATTTTACTATAATTATGTATGATTATACTTTCATAGTGTTTTGTTTGGGGGTTCACTATTTGCCCATTGCTGGGACTTTAACAGGTGTTACCACTCTGGGTCAGGGTGGACATGGGAACAATAGAAATTGAAAGGTGATTCCAGGCTTCTTGAAACCTCCAATCTCCTGATCAGAGGCCTTGCTGCCAGATGTAGTTCATCGTCATACCAAAGACTATATAAATTAAGTTAACAATAAAATCACCAAATCAAATTTGGTATAATAATTATCTTTTACTTGAAACAATAAAAATCATTAAATGTGATTCCTTTGTATCCTACAAAATTAGAAAAGGACATAAGACAAGGATGTGTCTTCACACCAGACTTATTCAACCTTTACAGTGAGGCGATCTTGAGAGAACTAGAAGTCCAACCAAGATTTATTATTGGCAGACACAATCTTAACATATGCCGAAGACAGCATGTTGATGGCAGGCACAGAAAGAAAACAACAGGACCTCCAAAACAAGTTAGTAAAGGAAAGTGAGAAAAAAAGGACTAAAAATTCAAAAATAGAAAGAACCATAAGACAAGGATGTGTCTTCTTACTGGATTTAATCAACCATTACAGTGAGACGATCCTGAGAGAACTAGAAGTCCTACCAGGATTTAATCAACCTTTACAGTGAGACTAGAAGTCCTACCAGGATTTAATCAACCTTTACAGTGAGAGAATCCTGAGAGAACTGGAGTCCTACCAGGACTTAATCAACCTTTACAGTGAGACGATCCTGAGAGAACTAGAAGTCCTACCAGGACTTAATCAACCTTTACAGTGAGACGATCCTGAGAGAACTAGAAGTCCTACCAGGATTTAATCAACCTTTACAGTGAGACGATCCTGAGAGAACTGGAAGTCCTACCAGGACTTAATCAACCTTTACAGTGAGACGATCCTGAGAGAACTAGAAGTCCTACCAGGACTTAATCAACCTTTACAGTGAGACAATCCTGAGAGAACTCAAAATCCTACCAGGATTTAATCAAACATTACCGTGAGACGATCCTGAGAGAACTAGAAATCCTACCAGGATTCATTACTGGTGGATACCATCTTAACAATGTAAGATATGCAGATGACACAGTGTAGATAGCAGATACAAACAGGAAACTGCAGGAACTCCTACAGAATGTAGTAAAGGAAAGTGAGAAGAAAGTACTAAACACCAATTATAAATAGACAGAGTGTATAAAATCAAAGCAAGTACAAAAATTTAAATAAGTGAAAAGTGTTTTAACGGAAGATGGAAAATGTGACACTAAAATCATAATGCACATCGGAATAGTGAAAAATGCCTTCCAGAAGCTAAGCAAAAGTGTTAGAAATAAAGAAAACCGTTTTGAGTCTTTATGTAATATTAGTCCTTCTCTATGACAGTGAATGTTGGACAAACTCCTAAGAGAAGAGCCTTGAAGCAACAGAAATGTGGTTCTAAAGGATACTGAGAATACCATGGATTTAACATGTGAGTAACAAGCAAGTTTTAAAGAAAACAGAAACAAAAAGCATACTCACAATCAGAAATAGACAGCTGAAATTTCTAAGTTACATGATGAGGAAAGAGGGCTTGGAGAATTTAGCACTCAAAGAACATACTGAGGTTGTGTAAATGGATAGCAGAATGGTGACTGGGAGAGATGGTGAAAAGACAAACCTTACTAAGAGCTAAAAAAGATAGGAAGTTATGGAGAGCCAGGACCGCCCACTTTCTGAAGGGAAATGGCACATAGAAGAGTAAGAGATTATTCCTTTGCATGCCTATATATTGGGAAAATATCAGAACAAAGTAAAAAAAAAAAAAAAAATAAAGATAAGAGTCTGCATTATACAAACCTTGTGCATAAAGACCAAGGATCGTTCATAGGCATTGACAAGATCTCCATGGGCAGGATCACTGATACAACGACCACGGATCTGTTTACGACGTAACCTCAGATAATTGTACCATAATTTGTAGCTGGAAGAAAAAAAAAGAAAAAAAGCCATAACATTATATATTCAGTATTTAAGTTCCTCTAACATCCACCTCTGACATTATGTGGCCAATATAATAAAAATATATTCAGAGAAGGGTCTGTAATGTTATTGGTCTTGACCTGGCATCTTGACTACAGTCACTTTCCCAGCATCGTGACATGGCTTCCCTTTCTCTTTTCTTACCTGTCATATTAAAAAGTACTTAAAACTTCTCAGCATGACCCACTCTTAAAACTCTGGCCAAATGACGAAACATTTATTTTCTAAAGAGTTCTTGGTGGGAGTCATGTACTTTTCAAACCCCTTTGCGCAGTATAGCTGTTCTCAGAGGGGAAACCTTTTCTAAAATAGCAAAATTTTTCTGGGTCTAAAACTCCCATAAATAATAGTTAAACCCTTTGCCTGTCCAAGGTATTTTTGTGCATACTATCCAAAATGTTCATGCTTGTTTTCAGATTTATAACTATTGCAAGGCAACTTAGCTTATTTAGCAAATAGAATGTGCCGAGATACAGTGTTTCATATAATAAAAACCTGTGCATCCCATGTAATGCATAGAACATACAAATCATAAGTTTTTTACACTACACTCTGTGCATCACGTGATGCAGATGTTTTTATGTAAAACACTGTATATCAGCTTATTCTATTTGCCAAAAAAGCTGACTTGCCTTGCAGTAGTTTTAAATCTGAAAACAGGTAAGCATCTTGTGGTCATATATGATGCACAAAATATTAGATTAGGCCTTTTCTTAGACATCCTTCTCAATAGTAGACTCTACTTAAGTGTTCTCAGTTCTACCACTCTATTAAAATCATGGCTTGTGTGCACCACATATGATGCACAGATGTGGAAATTACATGTCCTGTGTATCACATTTGATGTGCAGAACAGGCAAAGGGTTAATAAGGAAAATTGGATAAATATTTTTCAGTAATATTTTTTAGCAACCATGTAAGGATGAAAAAGGCGATTATCTCCCTTTGGTTGAGATGACCAATGAGTGACAAGCTCATGCCAGTTGCTATTTATCATGCTTGGAGACAAATCATGCCTGTCCACACTAGTTGCTATGTAGGGTGTAAAGAAGACAAAGGTCACAAGCCCATAGCAGTAGGGTGGACAGAGTAACCTAGATGGTTTCATCAGAAACAAAGGCTTACAGTCACATCACATTGAAACACTGGTACCTGTACAATCACCAAAGATAAGTAACATCAAGCCTGGTCAGTAGCTAGATGAGTAACTGAGAATACCAGATACAGTAAGCTTGGATGTGCAGGTGATGTAATGGATAATAGTTAGGAATTGTTAATCAGAAGACCTGTTTGTTTTATTCACTTATGCACAAACACCCTTGAGAAAGGTATGAATCCACCAGTTTTTCCCAATTATTACAAGTAAGATTGTCTTTCTTTTTGTCCCTTTCCCATTGCTTGTTGGATACATGTGTTATAGTTTCTCTGTGTGTCACAAATTAGTAACAAGTATGTATATATCAGTATAAAATATATCCTAGAACAATGCATGTTTTTCATTCCTTTCAGGTATTATTTTTCCACCCATGTATTAAGGTGATACTATATCACTGATATATTAATGCCTATAATGTGGAAATGCAAACTGGAAATACTCTTTCTTGCATAGCACCCTGATTAGTATATTTTTATCATACATATGATCTGCCTATAATAAGGTAAAAAAAAAAAATCCTGTGGCACTTCATCTTTATATGGCCTTAACTAAACACATGCATATTTTATTTAATGATTAATCCAGCCTTGTAGACATATAAAATGTTGTTATTAATGAAAATATATATATATATCAAATAGTGCTGTCATTTTGTTTCAGTTTATGAAGTGAAGTAAAATAAAAGCAAGCACCAACCTTCCAGGCATTTCTTTAATAGCCCTTTCATAAATCATATTGATGATATTTTTAGGTGCATCCTTTTTGTGTTCGATGTACCGAAGCCAGCACTTAACAGAATATGGATTTCGAAGGATGTCTTCTTCATAAGGGAGATCACTCTCCTCCTGAAATAAAAAAAGAAAGCCCCATTGAAATGAAAATGTATTTTTCCGATAGCATTTTCTGTCTGTGTAGATTTATAAGTGTTTGTCTTATAAACTGTGACTAAAATTAATAATTATACATAAAAAAGTTTATGATATAAATCAATGTTAAAAAAAACCCCAAAAAAAACTGTGCTTGGCAAACAGAAAATAAGATAACAGATTTGTTCAAGGAATTATTTTTGAGTTCAAATTCGAAGCTTGTTGCATTTACTTTCACTCAAATACACTTGGGAAAAATACAAATCTTTTCTATGGGTCAAATAGCAGAGTAGAAAGGGCTCTCTTAATTTGGGTAGCAACCAGAGAAGGAAAACTCTAAGTTCCAAAACCATGGAGAAAGTCACAGGAAACCACTCTACAATCTTGGCACTACTTAAATTGGTAGCTCCCAAATGTTTCAGCAGAAAAGAATAGCAGATGAGATGGAATGATTGAAAGTTCCAGAAAGTTCATATGCCAAAAAAAGTAAAAATTTAAAATATTATTATGGATTAATTGTAGCTGCATGCAGGAGTTCAAGTATAAATAATTACTGATGATTGATTTTATCACTGATATTTTTGCATTATATCAAGTATTAAGAATATAGTAACTAGGGTACACAAATTGGAAGAGAGAGTCATCAGTGATAATGTTCTGGCTGTAAATCTGCAGTTATCTCCCTTTAACCCTCTCTCTGGATCTTCTTTGACAGAGCTGCTTACACCTTTTTACCAGAAATTCCCTTTGGTGAGATGTGAGCAAACTTTCAATCTGAAAATGTGTCCCAGAGAAAAAAAGTTTGGAAAACACTGATTTTATTAGACTGGTCCATCCATCAAAATGCAAGGAAAAATGTTTTTTTTGGGAAATAATTTTTGCAGATTAGCATTCTTTACACTTTTCTTTGTGAAAATTGAAAAATATTTCAAAAGGGGAGTTCTGTTTATGAAATTGATACAGAGTCAATTTGATTCCTGATTTTAAAGAGTTATTACCCTTTGATGAAGTTAGATGATATTTACAAATGTTTAGTTTGAAAATTTGCTAACATCATTGATATTTGCATATTATTTTAAATTTTTAGAATCTTCAGTTTTTTTTTTAAAAACTTTTTTCCATAAAGGTTTTGTGGAAACACAAACACAAAAATTTGAGGTTCACAATTATTTATCTTAATTTAAGTATCCATTTATTTTTAATATATTAAAATTTATGTAAATTTTAGTTCTTTACTTAAAAAATGAACATATTCATTTGTTATTTAAGAGAGATTTTTTTGTAACCTCACCTCAAAAAAAGTTTGTTTTATATGCAAAAGTCATGGATCAATCGAACATTGCATTGATATTATAAACAGAACTCTCCTTTCCCAAAAAATTTTTTCCTATTTTTTATGAGTGGACCAGTCTATTTAAGTAGTGCCACAATCCTTCCCATGAAGGCATGGCATTTCACAAATAAAGAGGGATTTATGATTGTCTATGCACTGAAGGAACATCTTTTTTTTAAACAGAAAAGAGTGAGAAATAGAAATACTCATTTTACCAAAAATAAGACACTGAAAATTTAAAAAATACAAGTCAGTCATTATGCCTACCCACCACTATTAGGAAATTATGTTGGGTTTCTAAACGTAACTTAGATGTGGCACGAGCATGAAACACCCAGTGAGGATCAAACCCACTATTCAGTCATAATTGATATAGTGAGACATTTTGGGAAATTATGCTTTACTCAAAAAAAAACAAAAAAAAAAAAAAAAAAACAAATTTATTTTAAATTAAAAAAAAAATTATTTTTAACTTTTAGTTTGAATTCCAATCTAATAGATTAAATTTAATTTTCCCAATAAGCAAAACACTTTGGTGGAATTTAAAACAAATTTCAAATGATTGGAGTATTTTTTCTTACTTATCAGTAAAATCGATAAATTTGTCCATATGAACACAATTGTCTTTATTAAAAAAACTTTTTAAAAATAAAATATACTTCCTTGAAATGATAAAAAAATATTTACTTTCAGTTTAATATATTGCAGAAAAGCATCTTTTTTAAGACAAAGTGGGTGTTTTTTGACATGTTGAGTGATTTATTCTTTTTCCTTTATAGCTTATCAATCTTTTGCAGGTTATCCAAAGCCAGAAAATATTTTTAGATTATAAGAATGCTTTTAGATAGGTACCTCTACGAAATGTAAACAAAAAGAGCATAGCATGATGAAAAAAACGCCGAACTTGACAAAAACAAAATTTTATCATCTAATGTTCATATTATTAAAGAGGAAAGATCAAAGTATTTTTGGGGTATTTTTTTTACATTTTTTAATCGTTACTAGCACGTCTGAAATTTTCGTTAAAAATATTGTTTTTCTTTGTCAAAAAATGGACAGATAATCCATCATTTTCAATCATTTTTTTCCATTTTATAAAAAAGATGAAAATCTGACTTTGATATTCTTTTAAAAATCAATTATCATTTTTTCAAAACTTATTTTAATAAAATCAGAAACTATAATGTTTATTTAAAATATTTTGAACCAAGCTTAACTTAGATTCTGCGCCGAAAAAATGTAATTTGAAAATAAAACAAAGCAGGTCACAACTTTTCGCGTCGTTTGACAAGTGACGAAAGACATTTTCATGACGTTTAGATAACTTACGGGAGGATAATACGTAAAAAATTAGAAAAAAAAAAAAAATTATAGCGCTGAAAGTTTTCCTTAAAAATAACAAGGTAAATAATTTGTTCACTTAAATCTAAATAGTTTCACTTCTCTCCTTCCGTGGAATAACTTAAGGAACGATTAAAAAAATGTAAAAAAAAATACCCCCAAAATAATTTGATCTTTTCTCTTAATATTAACAATTAATAACATAAACATTTAGACAATAAAGTTTTGTTTTCGTCAAGCTTGGCGTTTTTTGTTGTTGTTGTCATGCTATGCCCTTATTTAGCGATCTCATGGAGGTACCTAATTTAAATTCTCCAAAGAGTTCTAAATGAAAAGGCTGAAATTTTAATTTCTCGAAATTTCATAAAATTAAGTGGGGATAACAGTTTTTCTAAAGAAAAAAATCCTTTCACTCATTTGTGAATAAGTCCTGAAAATTTAATTAAAATCCGACAATTATTTGACTTTTGCAAGAATTTCCAAAACGTGTTTTTTGAGGCCCAAAAAGACGCTAAAAATCCCTAGTGAATCTATTGGCCCACCCGCTGACGCAAAAAAAACAAGACTTTTAATCAAAATTTTGAACGTGCCAGAAAGAATTAGAAAATAAAATAATTAAAAAATACATTGTTTTTTTTTTTTCTTCTTAAAAATAACAAACATTTTTACGAAAAACTTTGTTTTTATCAAATTTGGGGCCTCTTTTCATCAGGGTATGCTCTTTTAGAAAATTTTGGGAAGTATCAAGAATAAAAAATTAAACTATTGGTTATGGTTAAAGAAAATTTATTTTTCGGTAATTTTCCTTTATTTTAAAACATAAATAAATTATTAAACTGCTGGTTTTCAGTATTTCTTAATGTTTTATTTTTACTTTTTAGCGCGCTTTTTCGAACAGGAGTCGCATTATTTTTTTTCATCCTTCGACGGCACAGGCGACATGCGTAAATAACGTTATTTTCATTCTGTTTTAAGTAAAATGTAAGCATTACTTTTCGAAGATCTAGTGAATTAATTAATTAAATTGACTAATAGACTTCCAAACATATCTCTAGGACAAAGATTTAAAGAGAATTTTAAATTTGTTGTTTACATTCCGTTCGGTGAGTGACAAAAAAGTGCCAATGTTTTAAAAATGCCTACAAAGTTTATTTATACGAGGAAATTAATTTTTATTTTAATTTGGATTATCTTTAGGCAATTACCTTTCAAATGGCATCGAAATTTAACTTCAAAAAAGGTATTTAAATTACTTAAAATGCGTTTTCATGTTTTTTAGGAGTTCCGTTGCGGTAACTTTATAATTGACATGTGGCCGGCGCCGGTAAACAAGAACGAAAATCGATGGCACAAAGCAATTCACCTCATATAGAAATTTCAATACGTAACAAATACTTACAAAGTATATGTTTTTCACATTAACGTCTGGCATAATTAAAATATCAATTGTAAAAATTACTTAATATTCAATAAATGTGACTTAGGCATCCATATTACCGGAAGTAGTCGCGAAAACCTTTCTGTTAATCGGAACCGGTGTTTGATAATTAAAGTTCTCTAGAAAATATTGTCCAAGTCGAAGATAACCGTCCTGAAAGATAGAAAATTAAAAATTTGAAAATCGAAAATAAATGTAGAATTATCTGAAAAAGTGATTAACAGTTGTTGATTTTAGTTAACTATGACTAAAGTGTACATAGTTTTCCTAACTGTAGAAGAAGGTTATGATCATCCATCAATGACTTTTGAAATGTCTTTTTATTTTTCAAAATTTTATTTGAAGCAGTTTTTCTTTATTTTTTTTTGCTGAGGGGTAATGATTTCTCCGGCTGTCAACCGTTCAAGAAGTTACCAACTTTAAACTTCTTATTTAAAACTTTGCAAGTTTATAAATGAAATTAAACTTATGACTGAATTATAAAATTATATTTTATTTTCGGAAGCAAGAAGAAAAAACTTACCTACATCATTTTATTTTTCTTTATAAAAAAATAAAATCAAGTGTCATGAAAATAAGCGTTTTTTACGGCGTTATACTTTCATAGAAAGTTTCCGTAAAAAACAAACGATTATTTTCACAAAACTTGATATTTTTATTAGAAAAGTATTTTTTCTCCCTTATAAAACAGTTTCTTTTTCTTCTTGAAATGTAGGTTTTTTATTTCTTAATGGTGCCCGGCTAATGACCAAGTAATAGCCAACACATAGTTCCAAGATCATCCGAAACGATTATGGACATGGAGGAACCCAGGAGGAGACACTAAATACCAAATAGACTACATAAAAGTATCAACAAAAGATTCAAGAATACAATCGTTCACTGCAAAACCTACCCAAGTGCCGACTGCAGGAGTGATCATCATCGTCACACACATACATACTATGATACTTACACAAATTTAAACTATACAACATCAAGCATTCATTGGATAATAAATCAACACTGCTTTGTAATAGACAATTTATAAATCGCAGCTATGTGACAATTTTATAATCACTGTATTTTCATGTAGTCAATTTTGTGCACTTTTGGGAGAATTGGATCCCAAGAGCCTTCCTAGTAAATATTTTTCAGGAGATATCAGATTCTAATTGGTCAATAAACACACAAGTGGGCGTTGCAATCCACCCATGCACAATATATTTTTCCAGCACGTGACTAAGTCAAGTTTCCCGCCAAGGTGCTCTGATCCTGTCACATGATTACATTATCTATAAAAACAAACACGAGTTTGACTCTTTCTTTCTCCTCTATTATTGCTGCAATATGTTGTCCCAGAGAATTATCGTCTTGACCTTGCAGTCAGACATTAAAGAACATTACCAACATACGTACGTACGAACATTCACCACAATACGAACTCTTACAAACATTCACCAAAATCCAAACGTTCACACACAAACACAATGTTAACTATGTGCTTTGTAAATGTTTTGTTTAATACATATATTTGTTTATATATATTGGTCTTGTTTGTTTGTCTTCCTTATTTTCAGTTGGGCTTAATACAAGTCCAACATTCTATTGTAGTTGGACCTTCTAGCGGGAAATATAAGCACACATATTTTCTTCACATCTTCACCACCCCTGGTCCTCTATATAATGGTGACCACTGACATGATTTTGCAAAGGAAAGCCAATAGTCAATATAATGGTCCACTAGAATATGTAAGCTAAGAGTGAAACTATGGAAACAGAAGAAGCCTAGCACAATACCCAAGCTGCAGTACAACAAACTCCTGAGCAACTTGAACCTGAAAGAAAAATATACGGAAAATATATGAGGGACACAATGGAAACTCAAAATGGGAATCACTAAGAGATGCATTAGTGACATCAGCAAACAAGGTCTTCCCAAATACAGACAAAAAAGAAAAAATGAATGGATGAGTGAGGAGATTCTCAACATGATGCAATGGAGACAGAAAACTCTGCCACAATACGGACAGAATACAGAAAATTACACAAAGAAATAAGGAACAAATGCATGCAGGCTAAAGAAGTGACTAAAAAAAATGTGCAGAAGTATAGAGATTGAGTACCATCAACAAAGGAGATATGCAGAAACAAATAAGGAAACTAGAAGGAGAGAAGCCATACTTGTCAACAGGCTGCTTAAAATCAGACGGAACATTCATATCAGAGAAGGAAAAAATTCTTTAATGCTGGAGCAAGTATATTAGTGAACTCTTCTGCAATGAAAGAAAACAACCAGCAATACAAAGAACTATTGACAGGCCTGAAATTCTAAAAACTGAATAAGAAGTTGCACTGGTCAAATTGAACAGAAACAAGGGGGCAGGGCCAGATGGAATCTTAAGGGAAATACTGACAGCCTTAGATGAATTTGGCATAGACAAGATCACAGAAATAATAAATGAAATCTACAGCAGTAAGGATGTACTGGAGGATCTCAGCAGATCTATTTTCATAGCACTAGCTAAGAAACCAGGTGCAAATGAATGCGAGCTCCACCAAACAATCAGCCTAATGAGCCACACCACAAAACACATCATCCATATTCTGATGAATAGAGCACACAGCAGAATCAGGCCAGATATAGGACAAGAACAGTGTGGGTTCGTCAAAGACACCGGAACAAGGAATGCAATATTCATGCTTAGAATGTTATCAAAAAGAGCAATACAGATGCAGAAGGATGTGTATCTATATTTTATAGCCTACGCAAAGGCATTTGACAAAGTATGCCACAAGGACCTGCTAGAACTGTTCAGGAACCTTGATATATTTGGGAAAGATATCAGAATAATCAAGAACCTATACTGGCAGCAAATGGCATGCATTTGCATCGAGAATGAGCTCAGTGAATATACAAAAACAGAAAGAGGCATAAGGCAAGGATACGCAGATGACACGGTACTGATTGCAGACATGGAAAAGAAACTACAAAACCTCTGACAGAAGGTAGCGAGGGAGAGTGAGAAGAAAGGACAAATCATAAACTACAATAAGACAGAATGCATGGTCATCAGTAAAAGGATGAGCCCAAAATGTGATTTGCAGGTCAGGGACACTAAAATCAAACATGTGTGGAAGTTTAAGTATCTTGGAAGTGTTCTGACAGAGGACAGTAGGTGTGACGCTGAGATCCAAAGATGGATTGCGAGGACCAAGGATGCAGAGTACTGTGAAATAGGAGGATTTCTATGGTGGCAAAGAAAAGGATACTACATGGCATCTGTCCTCTTATATGGCAGTGAATATTGGATGGTATCCTCAAGGGTGAAGAAGAGACTAGAGGCAGTGGATATGTGGTTCTACAGAAGGATGCTGAGCATATCATAGACCGAGCATGTTACTTATGATGAGGTCTTGGAGAGGATGCAAACAAGTAGGAAGCTTATGCTTAACATAAGGAAGAGGCAGATGAAATTTCTGGGACATGTGATGAGAAAGGAGGGCCTGGAGAATCTGATACTCACAAGATGAATAGAGGGAAAAAGAGACTTGGGGAGTTGGCAGAAACACAAAACCTGTTGAGAGCTACAAAGGATCGGGTAAGTGGAGAGCCATGATCACCTACGTCCTGAAAGGACATGGCACATAAAAGAAAAAAAGTTGTTTCCCTTTTATACTGTCTTTTTAGACAGTAAAAAGAAAAGGTTTTTGAGACTTGGGATGGTTAACTGCTTAGAATGAGAACTTGAGGAGCCGAGTTCAAATTCTCACCAGGTTTGTTATATTCCCTTGTGTGCAAATACCCTTGGGAAAGGCATGCATCTATCTCTTCTCCTTCCAACTATGGGCTGAATAGCAGAACAGACTAAGTCCTATAGCCTTGGTTGTCAACCAGTCAACTGCAGAAAAAAACAACAACCTACTGAGGGGAAATCTTCTGCCTAGTCAGTTATGAATCAAAATGAGACATGAATGCCCAAGTATGTATCACAAGGCACTTAACTGACTGACTGGCTTTTGAAACTTGGGAAAGGTTTTTTTTTCATGTAATTAAGAAAAAAAAAAAATTAAAAAGTATTCAAATTATTGCCATCATCAACTGATGAAATTAAACTGAAACTCTGACATGAGTCATTAATATTCTAAAAGTTATTTGGAATTATTTTCATTGTTTATAAAAATTTTATTTTTATGACTTTTAAAATGTTAGCCTTGAATAAATGTCTAATCAGCTAGGTTGGTTTTTTAGTATACATTCTTTTGAGAGAAGTGTATTTTTTATGAAGGCCAGACAGTTTGTGTAAAAAATTATTACATTTGTATATCTTTTCAGCTCAGTGTTTGAAAACCACCTAAAATTGTGAAAGGATCCATTTCAAGTTTATGGAAAATTGTTTTTCTTTGTATTTTGTGGCCAATGAGAGCTGTGGTCTAATATCCTTATGAAAACTTGGATGGAGTCTTCTGTGAGCCACCCTTTCCAAATAAATAGAACTCAGGTCAGTGGATAAAGGAGAAGACATTTTGACAGCAAGGGACAAGGTAAATCAACATCATGGAGCAGAAGGCATTTGACATCAAAAACAGAGTATCAAGAAGGCACAAGGTTACAAGCCAGCTGGAAAGAGACTAAAGAATTCTGAAGTTTGTAGAATCAGATTCCTACATTTTTTTAAAATCTCAAATCTTGTGCAAGTTAAACACATAGAGGCTCCCAACCAAGTATAACAACTGATGCATTCTGATTGGTTCAAAAATATTAATTAGGTGTCGTCAACTACATCCACATGCCACAAAATGTAAACATGTTCACGATCCACCCACAAGACCAAGAGAACTAATGAAAACAAAACTTTGACGCAACTTGGTCAGAGGGCCCTTAAAATATTCAACTTGTTCATTTGACTTCATTAAAAATCAACTCAACAACAAAGGAGATGAACCAAATTTTTCAACACAACAATGAACCTTGTCAACCAATTCCAGGCTTAACCTTAATTACTAAAATTAACATAAATACAGCTTGCGAAAGAATGCTCACTCCCACAAAATATTCTATTCCACAACAATCATCTCCGGTAAAAGAGCGACAACTCTGTAAAAATCAGTGAGTCAAGAACAATACTTTTTTTTCTATTCAATACAAAAAAATAACTTTAATTTTCCTATAACAACAAATATACTTAACTACACTTTAAACTTAAATTCTTTCAATATCACACACCAAAGAACTCTAAAGTGTTTTAAAAAATTTAACACAATATATTATGTATTTGTTGTGTTTATAAAAAAATCTTTATTATTGAACAATTTCTTATACTTGATTATTTCTCTTGTTGTCTTTGTGACATTTGATATAGTAAAAATAGTATAGGGTCAGTTTTATTTGTATTTATAACCAATACAGATTGGCTAACCCACTATAAGTGCAAGTAAAAATTCTTCAGCAGTTGGACAACAAAAAACTAAAATAAATTTTCCCAATCATAAACTATGAATTTAAAAGGGACTCTTTGAAATTACTATATGTGCCAGAGACGCTCATAGGGCAAGTAAAAGTAGGTATATTTGTTTTTTTTCTGAAATGTCGTTGCACCTTTTTTTTTTTACAACTGCTTTCTTTTTTCTCTTTTTATCATGGAATCCTTGTCTTTTCCCTAACTGTAATTTTTTTCCATTTTTTGATGGTAATCCTTTTTATCAGAAATTTGTTATCCTGCCTTAATAGGTGCAAAAGAGTTAATTTTTGTGCTAACTTTGTATTTGTACATTTTTGTAACTGCATCATAAATGTTTTTCCTTTAAAATTTTATGCAGTGGTTGAGCTTTATTTTGTTATTTTGCACCTATTATAACTTGATATTCTTTCTAGCTAGGCTTTTGTGTTTGGCACAAGAACTTAGATTAGGGAGGGAATAAAATTTTAATGTTTTCTTGTTTACCTTTTAATTGAGAATAGCCAAAGAATAGATCAACAGAAATGTTGTAACAATAACAAAATGAATCTTAAAAAAAAGAATCTACAAGCCAATTAAAAAAAATATAAATGTGAAAATAAAAAGTAATTTGAGTGATGTAATCAATTAGGTTTGCTCATAAACAAAAATCAATGCTTGAATGCAATATGGTGATTTTTCAAATGTAGCTTAGATATGGCACAAAGTTGGAAGTATGGGGCACCCAGTGATGATCAAACTTACTACTCAGTTCTAGTGAGACAAACTTGCTAAACATTATACCACATCAAGGTTCCCAAAATGATTTTCTAAGCATAGCTTAGATGTGGCAAAAATATTGGAGCACCCAATGAGGATTGAACTCACTGCTCAGTCATAATTGTTCTAACAAGACTAGCTTGCTAACCATTACACTACATTGAGGTACCCAAAATGATGCATCACAAGGCTGAAAGTGTGGAGTGACCAGTGAGGATCGAACTCAGTTGTAACTGATTTAGCAAGACAAGTCTGCTCACCATTACACAACACTGAAGTACTGAAAATTGTTTTCTAAGCATAGATTAGATGTGGCACAAGTAAGAAAGTAAGAGGCACCCAGTGAGGACTGAACTCACTATTCAGTTATTCAGTTGTAATTGATTTAGTGAGACAAGTTTACTAACCTAGGCTGCAGTCTATACTGCCTAAATAATAAGCTGGCCCACAATAATTATCCATATAATAATCCTATTCTATTGGCTACACTTGTATTAATTTCTGATCACTGACAATACCATCCTTCCTGATTTTCAATGCATTCCTATAGTAAAATCATTAGCAATGCATTTACATTATACATATAATAGCCCTATTCTATCAGTAATGCTAGCATTCATTCTTGACCAATGACAATCCCTTTCTTCCTGATTTTCAATGCATTCCTATAGTAAAATCATTAGCAATGCATTTACATTATACATATAATAGCCCTATTCTATCAGTAATGCTTGCATTCATTCTTGACCACTGACAATCCCTTTCTTCTTGATTTTTCAATGCATTCCTATAGTAAAATTATTAGCAATGCATTTAGATTATACATATAATAGCCCTATTCTATCAGTAATGCTTGCATTCATTCCTGACCAATGACAATCCCTTTCTTCTTGATTTTCAACGTATTCCTATAGTAAAATCATTAGCAATGAACTTATTTAAAAAGTAGCCCCAAAAGCTACGAGTAGCAAAAATCAAAATTTAATATTGTTAGGCTTTCAAAAAGTAACTCAGGTTTACACCCAGATCACACTGAAATACTGGTCCCATATGACCACTGAAGTTAAGCAATGTCAACCTTGGTTACTACTTTGATGGGTGGCCACTTTAGAATACCAGGTGCTGTAAGCTTGGATGTGTTGGTAGTAATGGATAATGGCTCGGAATTGTTACTTGGAGATCCGAGTTCCAATTCTGGTTTTGTTATATTCACTTATACGTAAATACCTTCTAGCCCCAGATATGGATTAAATAGTAAGACTTGTATCACTAAATCATTATTATCTCTAAAAAAGAAATTCTTACAATCTAAAGTATTTCTGGATTTCAATAACCTGTAAAGGATCGATATGTCATAGAAAACAAATCACTCACTCAAAAAGTAACTCAAATCTGCCTAAGAGTATATTTTCTTGAATAAAGAAGTGTATGTGATATAATGATTTTTTTTAATCATCCCCCCCCCCAAGCAAGGCGGGAATGCCACTAGTATTCAGGGGATTATTGGGAGTGAAAGAAGATGGTGATTGTTGTTGCATTTAAATTTTTGAAGATTGTAGTTATCAGTGAAGCAAGTAAACAGAAATGAGTTCCACAGGTGGGAAGTGCTAGAAAAGAAATTGTTGGAATAGAAGTGGCAGTTACGTTTAAATAATTCACCAGTAAAAAGGGGGGGACCTAGATGCCATTCTAGTAGCATGCTTAAATTCATGTAGCCTGGGCCTCAGGAAAAAAGCTTGTCAAAGCAGAAGCTATGAAAATATTTGTAGAAAAGACAGAGGGAAGCCACGTCACATCAGTGCGAAAGTGACTGAAGTCGAGATGTCAAGTCAGGATCGATTACATTGCAGATCCTTCTTTGGATTATGTCAAAAATCTTGAGATAAGTAGCAGGAGACACGTATACACACACACACATTATACACACATAGGCACACATACATGCACACATGTATGGTGATTTTCTAAGTGCAGCTTAGATGTGGCACAAGGCAGAAAATATGGGGCACTTAGTGATGATTGATCTCACTACTTAGTCATAATTGTTCTAGTGAGACAAGCTTGCTAAACATTACACCACATTGAGGCACTCATCTCTGTGTGCGTGTGTGTGCATATATATATATATATATATATATATACACACACACAGTGGAAACTCAATTTAACAAACTGATAGTGGGGAGAGTCTTCTGTTGAAGACATGTGTTCCTTATTTTGAAGCACTTTTTTGTGGCCTAAAAAAAAAACACCCAGTGAGTACAAAATTATTGTAAATAAATGTAAATACAGTATATATGTATGCATATTTTATTTTTAAGTTACTATATACCTTTAAATAAAGTTGTAAAAGTTTTAATGATAACTCCAGAATCCATTAGTTCCAAGACCGTTAAGTTGAGGTTTTACTATATATATATATATATGTGTGTGTGTGTGTGTGTATGTGTATATATATATATATATATATATATATATATAATTTTTGATCAGACCTCGTATATGTCTGTATTCTATTTATGACTTCTTTAAATACACCTATGTGCAAAAAGAAACATGAATATTCTTACACGTAGGCCTATACAATCTACATAGTTCAGATTACTTTCTGTCGTGGGCAGGTATGTTTATCTAGCAGCCGTTTAAGCAAATATGCAACCTGAAGGGAGAGAAGGTAGAAAGTGAACTTCTTCTTTGAAAATGCAGGCTTAAGCCAGAAGAAAAATAGCTAAGAAAGAGCACATGTTAATCAGCAGCTGACTGAGTTGCTATGCCATCTTATCTTTCTTTCTGGAACATTTACTAGGCATTGGGTAAGTCGTATCATCTTTTACTACATGAAACAAGAATTGGATAACACTCCCACAGTATTCTGGCGGAGCCATCAGAAAGCAAAATATGAAAGTGATCAGATAACTTTCAGAAGAGTATACTTACTGTTATGTCGTGTATATTGCTTAGTAAGCATTTCACTTCCGTTCTAGTTGTTGTCCATTTATATTATGAGCTACCTGCTCATATGCAAATCATACTAATTTGCATATCACTACATCTCCCTATAACAGAGGGGCCTTATGCCGCGAGTACTTCTTGTACTTCTTCTTGTGCCCTCCTGAACATCTTCCTTTATCTCTCTCCTTTCCCTTGGAGATCTAGATCTATCACGTCTTTCCCTATAATCGAACTGTTCCTCTTGCATACTGTGGTCTTCCTCTTCTAACTTGTCCCATTCTACTTCTTCCTCCTCTAACTCATCCCTCTCTACTTCTTCCTCCGCAGTTTCATTCTGCATTAACTCTTCTTTACAGTCTGGACCATCCTTTCTGCTATCCCATTACCTTGAGGGTGGTAGGGAGGGGTCTTGTAAGGTCTGCATCCTATTTTTCTTAACCATTCATGCAAATCAGCATCCACAAATTCTGGCGCGTTATCAGTCACCAATGTTCTCGTGTCCCATTCCTCGAAAATATTACTCTTAATTATTTTTTACGGTGGTTTTTTTTTATCAGGTACTCTCACCACTTCAGGCCAACCTGAATATGCGTCTACTCATATTAATAATAGTCCTATCCCATTGACATAGGCATGGTCCATGTGTACTCTGCTCCATGGTTCTACTTCTCAGGGCCATACATGTATTTTCTTTTGCTTAAAATTCCTAAGTTCTGTGCCTTTTTGCATCTTCTTACGTAGTCTTCTCGTCTCTTGAGTACCCCGCCACCAAGCTTCCAATTTTAATCTTCTTTGCGTAGCTCCCACTCCACAATGTATGTCATCGTGTACACTTTTTTATAACCTGTCTCCTCTCTGTGTTTCTGGGGAACTATCAAGTCTCCCTTACATATTATCCTTTTTCTACAGTCATTCTATGTCTAATTTCTTTGAATGGTCTTTCAGCCATTGAACAATTTCCCCAGCGATTCTGTTTTATCCTCGACATTATTCTATTTAACACTGGGTCATTTGTAGTTTCAGTAGCCATTTTATCTACAGATATTACATCGGTTTCTACGAGGTGCAAGAATGTGTCTTCAAATTCCTCGTCATTTTTGTCCTTCTCTTCTCTATAAAACCTCAATCTAGATAAGGCATCAACGTGCGGTATTGTATTCCCTTTGACATATTCAATGTCAAAGTCGAACGCCATCAGTCTAATCGCCCAACGCAATATTCTGGACGTTGTAACTTTCGGTAGCTCTTTTCTTGGGTTGAAAATAAATTCCAGTGGTCTGTGATCACTTTTCAACAAGAATTTTTTTCCCATCAAAAACTGTCTTGCTCTATCCGTTGTCCACACTATGGCTAGTGCCTCCCTTTCTATATTCGAATAATTGTGTTCAGTTGTTGTTAATCTCCTCGATAAGTACATTATGGGATGCCCATCTTGTGACAAAATACCAGATATGGACTGCTTACTAGCGTCAGTAGTTAGAGTTATATCCTTCTTAGGGTCAAAAATTTGTACTATTGGCTTTTTTGCCAGAATCTGTTTTAAGTTTTCAAAGGCTTTCTGTTGGTGTTCTAACCAAATGAATTCCACATTTTTTTTTCTTAACTTAGCAAATGGTTCTGTCAACTCATTGTATTTTGGTAGATATTTTCTATAAAAATTTACCAAACCTAAGAAGGACTCCAACTCTTTTTTTATTTTTCGGTGTAGCAACTTTTAGAATTTTCTCTATTAATACTTTATCTGGAGAGATCCTTCCTTTGATATTGAGTAACCCAAAATGATATTTCATTACTGTTGGTTACACACTTTTTTTGTATTTATTGTCATACCAGCGTCTCTTAGCGGTTCAATATATTTTCAGTTTTTTCTTTAAATCATCTTCATTTAAATCTCCAACACATATATCGTCTTGATAACAGATGGTATTCTCAACATTTCCTATTACTTTTTCAATAGCTTTTTGAAAAATTGCACTTGCCGTTTTTATGTCATACGGCATTCTTTTCCACCTTAACAGGCCTATAGGTGTGTTTATAGTCGTCACTTCTTTAAAATTTTCATTTATTGGTATTTGGTGGTAAGCTGATTTTAGGTCTATCTTCGAAAATACTTTCATTCCAGCAAGTTTATGTAAAGCTACTTCCACATTCGGAATAGGGTACGAGTCAGCACAAACTTTATGGTTCACCCCTATTTTATAATCTCCACAAATTCTCAGGTCACCATCTTTTTTTTTCAATACTACAATGGGTGATGCCCATTTACTTCCTCCTGGAGGGCAGGTTCTAATAAATCTTCCTTTATTAGCTTTTAGCAATTTAGCTATTACCAACGGTAATAAATGCACTGGTATTTTTCTCTCGCTTCGTAGTAGGAGGGGGAAACATTTTCTTTTAATTTCAAGCTAGCTTCATAATTTTTTATTTTCCTGTTTTTTCTATTTCTATCTCATTAATCAACTTTGTTGAATTTATTTTTAACACGTCATTCCCAGTAGTCCATGCGTTTTTCGGCAATTTGTAACTATAATGGGTACTATTTCATATTTTTCTTTTTAATTCTATTGAACCTTCAAAGTAACCCATAATTGCTATAATCGAGCCATCAAACTGACGTAGTTGTACGTTGGTTTTTTAAAACGGTTTTCCCATTTTTCCCCCACAAATTTCTGGGTAATATCGTGACCTCACTACCTGTGTCGATTTGCATTTCGACAATACAGTCGTTGATTTTCACTTTTATTTTTGTAATTTCCGTTCTTAGATCCAGTATTTTGTATATTATCCTTTTTTACATTAAAAATCTGTCTATTTTCATCCTCTACTCTTTCCACATTTTTCGTTTTACATACTTCTTTGAAGTGATTCTTTTTTAAACACTTTGAACACGTCTTTCCAAAGGCTGGGCATTTTTCTTTTTTCATTTCATGAATTTTTCCACAGTACGTACAATTTTTTCTTTTTGTTTGTACCGTATATGTTTCAGCCATTATTTCTTCGGATTTATTTTTATTTTGGTTGTAGGTATGTATTAATTCCTGCTGTTGTATAAATTCTATACACATATTCAAAGGCATGTTTGTTAGTTGTAACTGTTCCATTAACTTATATCTATGTGCTGAATTATGCATACCTTCAATTAATCTTAGTTGGATTAATTCTTCTTCCGTTGTCTGC